ATAGAATTTTGCTCCGGGCGGCAGAAAATTCTCAACTAGCTTTGATATTCCAAACGCATCACTGAAATTCTGTATTTCATCCACGGTTGAAAATGCGCAGCAGCTTGCAGAACACGCGAAAATTCAAAAGAGACACGAAATTAATGTTGACAATTAAAATGGATTAAAACGATTCGCCACTGCTCGCGAGCACACACGACTCTAATTGAATTCACAGCTTAATGTGATATTACTAATGGATAATTTCGCGATATTATCATGTCGGCACCGACCGCAAAATAGAATCACGTCGGAAAACAAACAAGATAGTATAGGATTAGGATATTGCGATACTTCGCAGGAGATTAACTGTAAGTAATAGAGATAGGAAGTTTGTTCCACATTGTTCATCGACGATAGCAACGAACGTGTACAATCTAGTAAAAGTTAAATATATTTCTTCATCTAACAGCGTTAAATCGCTAACAAAATCACGATAGCGTAAATTTGTTGAAAACTAAGAATTTTAGGATAAGTAATCTTTTGATAGCTTTGAATTATTAATTATAATTCGCGAGAGATTTAAGATACAGTTATATTTATAAATTTATCAATTATATAAAATATAATTTAAAAATTAGAACACTCTTCTAATAATATTTTTCAAATATCTTTTATTATATAAAATTAAAAATAGATTTCTAATAGAGCTTAAATTTTATCATGAATTATAGATCGCTCAAGATAAAAACTTTTTCAAACATATCATTTCAAAAATAGGAGATCATAATAAGTAATAATTATCTTAATAGTTTCTCAATCTAACGCGATGCTGTCAAATGAACGATGATCACGCATTTGTTACACCGAAGAGAATTCAAATTAAGTATAATCACTGAACGTAATTTACAACCAGCGCGACGGAATTGTAAGGGACGAAGCACGAGGGGAAATCACCGAGTAATTATTTTCGTGTAGCCATTATCGACCAATTAACACACAAATAGTCGCGCTGTAAACGCGTCATTCAGATAAAAAAATAGTTTCTTCTTATGCAACAATAATAAAAATTATTTTTATAAATAACTACCTTTATTCTCAATCCATTAGAATATACAATTGAAATTAATTGTATTTTTTTCATCTGTATATTTCTTAATTAACTTGAAATCGAGAATGGAAAAATATAAAATCATGCGTTAATTAAAAGTTAATTAAATATTCATTATTTTCAACAAAGAAGTTATTTGAAACAAAGTTATTTTCTCGACGCAATAAGAATTAGCGAAATAATGCTGCATGTTACAAAGAAGATCGCAGTTAAAAAAAAAACAATTACAACATCTTCAACATGTGCGGCGACATTGGGCGCGCAGATGCGCTGCACTTGCATCGGGCACAAATGAGAATGAATGCGTCGCGGTTTATAATTAATAACTACTGCGGAGACGAAACTTAACCAGACAAACTAACGAGCTTTCGCATTCACGCGTCTTCTATCAACACGATGAAGTTACTCGTGCAGCAACAGCCGCATTACACGGACGCGACAAAAAAAAACCTGCAAAAAAACTCACGACTTTATCTATTCATCTTTCTCGTACACGCTTTTGTTGCGTATATCATCACGCAACGAGATAAAGAATCGCACACTGCGCGAGAATGTATAAGAGAGCTGCATCAATTAATTGACGAATCAAGCGTGTGAATTTATGATGTGCAGCCATTTCGAAGTTGTTTTCTACACAAGAAAGCGTCGGGATATAAATGCAATATATATAACAAATGCTAACAAGGTACACATAAAACAATGTGGAAATAATAAAAAAAAGTTTTATCAGCGGCCAAAATAATATTTCTGATAGAATTCGAAATAAAATAAAATAAAATTTACTTCCCTTTTTCAATATATGTATAGTTTAATTAAATAAAGTTTTATTCAAAAATTTGATAATATATAAGTGTAACATTTTGTTCTCTCAATAAATTATAATAATTTAATCATCTTTATTCCAAAATCTATGCAGAAAACATTATTAAGAAGTATTGAATATTCAATGATTTTAGCGATGATTTATTCTCTCAATTTTTTCTGAGGAACTTTGTTATAATTTTTGCATTATCAATGTTGTTTTCACACTGATAATAGGTGGAAGATAGTAGACCGAGGCATCAAGTGTCAAATTCCGTGATTTAAAGGTTAAAAGATCCCAAGATACAATCTAAGATTATCGAAACCTCTTTTGAGTTCTCTGACCTTTGAATGTGAAAACTTCTATATGGATCTTCGAGAAATAAGATTACTTTATTATTAACAGAATCGCTTGGTTAACATCTTTATAAAACGAAAATTATGCGGAATGTATAAATATTTACCACTTAAATTTCTAATGTGAGTTATACTTTGAAATATAGTTATAAATTTATATACTTTCCAAACTGTTTTCAGGTACGGAAAACCACAGATAAAACATATTCCAAGTCTACAGAAATTCTTTATAATTTATAATTCCTATCAGTGTATGAATAATCGACTGATGCGTGATAATAGTGGCGATAGACTATTCGTTCATCTATAATCATTTGACTTTATGAATTTTCGGCGTAAATATTAGACACCAATTTCTATAAGCTGCGATGTAGAGCCTGCATTGTAATGCAAAAAGTACTAAGCGAAGCAGAAAAAGATGATGAGATTCGTGATCTATTCTCACGCTCGCGATTATCAATCATTGTCACTGACACCGCGACATTCCAAACTAGGATTAATTTTTCAGAGATGGATAGAAAATTTCACGCGAAAGTTTGCCTTAGTCGCGTGCAAGTGACTATTCAGTTTCCTTCGATGGAAACTTTTCCGGAACATATCGCGAAATTCGGAAACCGATATTCATCGTCAAATCAATAAAAAGAACCAGAAATTCGGCTTTTCCGCCTTTGAGAGAAAAATCGTCTTACAATTTCCGCGAAGCGACGAAACGTGATATTGAAGACAAAATCGAAATATCTCAATGATATTTGTAAGAATATTTGAAAAAACAATATCCCAAATTATTGAAAAATAAATGTTTACTATAAAACTTTTAAATTGAACGATTGAAATTTCAATGCTTTATTCACGAGACAGCAACTTATAATTTTAAGAATTAAAAAAAATTCTCATTATTATTTAAAAAATGTTATTAATTATTATAAACGATAGTAATACCAAGAAATTTGTATTGCGAGACGTCTACTAATCCATTAATCTTTAAAGACTTTATCTTAAAATCTTAAAGATTTTGCTGCAGGAAAAATTGTACATATTTAATGCGTGATTGGCAACAAAATATGATAAAATAATGCGACATTGCGGTATCTCATAAGCTCTTTAAAGATTAAATAAGAGAATCCTGAAATATATTGAGCGAATATTCGTAGTGACAATATCTTCAAATATTCGTTAAATACTTAAAAAGGAGCGAGAATAATTATTAAATCTTATCGCTTGATATTAAACTTCCATGAAAACTTAAGAAAATCCGATAATATTCATTGGATACTTGCTGAATAACTTTGGATATTCATTGAATATCTAAGAATATCTATCGGATATCTCGGCCGTGGACTCCGATCACTCGTTCTAGCGCTCACGATGCGAATGCCGACTGATCCGGCGAGGTGCGCACCTTTGACATTTTCCATAAAGAACTTCGAACATACATCGGGCACAGCGAACGGGAATGCAGATGTACCGTACAACTGCAAAATTTGCCCAATTTAGAATAAAAATACTTTATCCGATTCGTGATTGTTCAGCGATAACAGTTCCAAATTTTGTTATTTTAAAATCAACAATTTAAGCACTGGCAATGCTATTGAAAGTTGCAAACTTTGCAATAATAATTATACTTAATATTAAATTGTGTAATTAATTAAAAAAAGGAAATAGTATATAATATGAAAAATAATTTAGTCTTATAATCACAACTTGTCAACGCAAACAACATGTACACTTTCATTACAGCCTTGAAATTTGCATTTCAGGTTGATATATCTAAAGGGAAAGATCTTAAAACAATAGAGGCTGCGATGTATTTGTATATGAGCGGGAAGCGAACGCTTTTGCTCCCCTTCTGTAATCGGGCAAGTTTTACGACGCGGCGTAATCAGCACCCTTGACAGAGAACACTTTCCCTGTCGCGTCGACGACGGCGGCGTCGGAAGCTTAACACTGATGGCGATCGATTGATCGATCGGTCGGTCGACGCACAAATCTAATCTTGGATCGTCTCGAGAGGCTGTTCAGCTTTTCCTCTTGCGGTGTTCGGTCAGTGTCACCGATACAAAATATCAACAACCTTGCGCCGAAACATACTTCGAGACGACAACAATGCTACATTACTCCGTTTACCTTTCTGCCATCCTCGCATCTTCTGCGTTCCGAATAAAATACAATAATAAGATTCAAAGATATAATAGTTGAGAAATAGTCGCTGTTTTGAGCTTCAAAGGCGATAAATTGGAACAAAAACAAACGAAGATTGCAGGGAAGAGGCTGAAAGTGCATGCGGAAAGAATACATCAAAGGATGTTCCGTTCGTAAAGGGAACCAGGAGTACGTACGTATACGCATGCACGCAGGCATTTATTTACGTTGCGCACGAGGGGGGTGGATGGATCGTCGCTCGCTCACCCGGAACATCGCGATCGAAGCGACGAGAACGAACGACCTAGAAAGTGGCGAGATCCCGTTGCACTTGACACGAACCGTGCGCGCTTCGACGCGTTCGTTAGGATATCGTACGCGTATCCGCATACGGATGTATGCGGTTATCCTTTTGAATTATCGAACGTCGTCTATCGAAAGAGCGACAACGCGATGCATACATTGCTCCGTCTTGTGCTTCGAAGAGCGATGCGAGGCGGAGCGTATCAAACGAAAGAATGACCAAATAAATATAAAGTAATAAAAAAAAAAACAGAAAAGGAGTAAAATAGACAGAATGCCACGAATTTCGCGTGACAGCTGAGAGACTTACCTGACCTTCCCGCCGCAGAACTCGCAGTTCGCGCCCTGCCAGCCGTCGTGACAAACGCAGGTGCCATTGATGCAGTTGCCGTAGATGCAAGCGTCGCAGAGGCTTCCGTCCAACGTCGGAAAGGTGGAGGCGGCGACGGCGCTTACGTGCACCACCCAGCAGACGAGCGCCGCCCACAGTAAAAACGGCGCCCACGGCACGTTCCTCGCGACCGCGCCGTCGGTGCTGTGACCGTTGCACCGCCAGCGCTGCCGCTGCCGATTGCTCGTCGCGATCGCGACCCGGTCGTCCCCGTCGGCGTCGCGACGCGATCGCCGACGCCACTGATGATCGCCTTTCCGACGGTACTTGGATTTATATAGGAACAAAAACATCTGCACGATCTCTGCCATTTTGGTAGGCTTCCATGTCAGAGACAATGGCTGATGGCGACGCACCGACGTGGGCCGCGCATACGGAACGCAACGACAACGGCGGGCAACGTAGATGAAGTAAAAATCGGACGACTTGTTCCCGTCTGTCTCGCGCGGCTCGACGACTCGACACGTCCGACGTACGCGGTCTTGCTCCTCTGTCTGCCGACTGCCTCCGCGCTGGCGAACTCGCGAGAGAGCGCGCGGCCGCCACCGCCGCGCCACGATACGGTATGCGGAGTATATAGACTATAGACTGAGTGCACTGCTCTCTCTTGGTGCAAGTCATACGTAATATACGTGTACGTGTGGCCCAGAGATCGCTACTGTCTTGCACAATCGAGATATTTGCACAGCTGCAAAATTTTATCTCGTGGACCTAAAAAATATAGAAAAAGAAAATTTTAGTAAATTAATTTTAGTAAATCACTTTTGGTCGATTATTCGATGACGCAATAAATATGAATTAATCACATAAACATAAAGCATTATTGATCTTTTCATTAACTAAAATATCTTCAATAACATTAGAGATTTGTTTTTTTTTAGCCAAGAAGAGGTTAAAATTCACTCTACTTTACGTGATTTCTGAGATTGGCTTTCACAATTTAGATGGACGGTATTCTTCTGTTCCGAATTTTGTTCCGCAATGCATATTGTCATTTAAAAGACATACAGAATAAATATAGTATAACAATAATATAGAAATATACCGTTACTTATCTGCGTATGCAAAAATTTTATGTATAGCGTACATACGGCCGGTTAAGTTGCACAACCTGTCAACGCAACATGCATATGCGTGCATTTGAATTTGGCGCGTCTTTACCTATGACCCATTTTAGTTCCTCAGATTCAGATTCTACTGATTGTAAGATTCTAAAGTAGATGTCGCTGAAAATCACCACCATCTTTTCGAGAAGGGAGTTTGTACCGTTATTTATCTACGTTGTACTTTCTGCACTCCAAATGAAATAGATATATAATTGCATTGGAGAGAGCAAGAGAAGAGATGAAAATTGGAAAGAAGTGCAGGTAAGAAAAACAAATCCACCACCGGCTTTACCAACCGAAAGTGGATGGTGGAGACGCGGTTATAGAGCGAATTGAAGTGCGCTTCTGTGTCAAACTGTGTCGAAGCGTGCACAGGGTGATTGCACGCTGGACGCCATATTGAGAGGTAACGAGTGTTGACCGAATGTACGGCCTGGGTGTTTACGCGGTTCCGGGTAGAAGCTGTGATAACTACAAATCGATCCCGTAGCCGTTGCCTGGAGTGCGAACGGTGCTCCATCGACGAGCGTGCTATTCGACGCGTACTGCCGATATGAGCGGCTGCGACGGCGAAGACGAACCTTTGGTACTCGCGATAGCTGACGACGGTTCGTCAATAACACTGGTGAAACGGTGCGACGACGACGGCCGCGACGTCGTTGACACCGGCGTCGTCGCCAGCCGTGACGATTTCGCACGAACGCGCCAAGACGCTGACGCTTCGAGCAACCACGAGAACGGGGACGCACGCGTGTTCCCTCTTGCCATGGACGTAATTTCCACCGGGGTACGTCGAATCCTCGTTGAAAATTTGCGCGTTGCACCACCGAAATGACGCGATAATGTGCGACAGCTGATCGTCTAATTATAATGAAATTATAATAGCCCGAAATCGTTGCCAAAACAAACAATCCCACAATTAACTTCTCTGAAACTGAAAATTCTGTCGTAAATTAAAAATTTAGACTAAAAAAACAGTCATGTTATTCTTTCACTTTGAGAATTTAACATGTATATCGTTTGATTTAATGTTCATGTTATTGTTTAGGAGAACAATCATTAGAGACACTTAAATCTAATAAATGAGATCAAATGTCAAAATATGTCAAAATATGTCAAATTTACTTTGTATAAACAACGATTAATTTGAAAATGGTACTCAATGGTAAATTCAATTGTATTGTTTTATTTGTTAATAAAATTTAAATTTATTGCTTTAGGAATAGTCACAGAACAGTAAATAGTAATGATCTTAATATAAAAAAACTCTCTTTAAGTGACACAAATATAACAACAGTGCTATGAAAGAAATAACTTTTCTACAATGATATAAATAATCATATATATATTAAATCTATTGAATAGACACTAAACTTAAAATCTCTAATGGCAATTTATATTACAAATAAGAATTTTGAATTATTTCACAAATTAGATGGTCAATTTTTGTACAAGTTATACTTACAGATGTGTAAACTTTGTCACTCAAATGAGTAATTCGGTGAATATCTTGGTCTTTGCAGCATGAGACGACTAAGGATCGATTGATGGAAGGCATGAGAGATGCTAATATAGATCGCCGTCTCACGGAAGGCAGAAGAGAGGCTAATGTAGATCAGTATGGCTCACCTCGAGTAAGCAGAGTCTCGACCAATTTGTTTTCTTCTGTAGCAGCTGCTGATAGTTCGTCACGCCACGGAAAAGAGTCTTGTTCTTGTGATAATTACAAAAATAAACGGTAACAATCATGATGAATCAAAGATGAAGAGCAAACAAGTGATATTAATGGAAAGTGTTTTGATTATGTGCAGAGACATGTTCAGAGAGGAACTGCAGAAAGCTATGAAGTTCCAGAACTTGTGGACAGAACTACGGCAGTATATACGTGCCGCTTTTAACATTGCTCTGGAAATAGCTCATGCAGCCGACTCTTCGCAGTCTCCACATAGCAGATTATCTTCGACTGACATGCAAGATACCGTTATTCAGTAAGGGATTTTTGAAGCTTGAGTTATTCTTTACTCCATTGTCACTTTGGATGAAACGATACATAATACTGTCGTTTGTTATAGATTATGTAAAAGAGATCCTCATCAGCTTTTCATGAGATTAGTAAGCCAAGCGCAAGAGTTTGTGGTAGAAGTAAAAGTTCGTTTATTCGCTCTTTTAAACGATCTTAGCGTAAATAATTTAGCTGAAATTTTTCTTACCGGTTAGTATTACTTTCTGTAAAGAAAAGTTTTAAATAATACATAATAGATACAAAGTCTACTTGAAATTTTCATGATATAGGTCTCTTGGATGACTATGACGCTCTCGTATCGACAGCGAATCTCATTTCTGAATTAGTAAATCCATTAAAAGAATACCTCTTTAAGTTTAATCTGACATGGGACTGTTTCATCAAAAAGCTATATCAGATTTATGTGTACAACGATGCGTTGGTACAAAACAATTTACCTACCTTCATCGGCCAGGTAAAATGATATATTTTACTGAAAATATTTCTAAAATGGTATATCTTGAATCTAAGTGTGCATGCTCACACTTGCAGCTGAGGAAACTTCTACCATTAAAAGGCTCGGAATACCACGGTCTTGTTCATAGATATTTATCTTTTGACGATGAGATGACGAGAATTGGTAATTTATGGCCCGAAACAGAACCATGGATGGATAAATACAAGTAAGTTAAAGAACATTATATATAATACGAATCGAATAACATCTTCGTATCGTCACACAATTATTTCAAACAACTCGATGGAATTGAATTATAAAAAAATAAACTAAGACTGTATAAGCAAAGTATGTTTGCTTGTCAGTGCAGAACAAGCCATTCGTGTGAAAAGACTTAAGCAAGTTAGGGAAGCCTGGGAATTGTTCACAGAAACACATAAGCTGGTAGAACAAAGCATATTGAACAAGACGTCTGATATCAGAAAGTAAGATATCATATTTACGAAAAGAAAAGTTTTCCACAAATTTTCTTAATTTGTGACATACCTGTTTGCCATTCACTGTTTCAGTGAAATGCAAGAGATTCACGGACAGTTTTCGTCGCTTATTGCGCATACATCTGGAAGCGACAGCCAACCTTCAAGTCCAATGATAGACTTCAGTTCGGATTCCATGCCATCCACTATAGAGATAGTTGAAATGTTGTTAGATGATTGGAATCAGGCCCAGCATCAAAAATTAGCCGACATAGCTGGGGCACTGACTGCAACTGAAGTAGACGTCAGCGGACAAGACGATTCCAACTGTTACGATTACGCGCGTGCAACATGCCAGTTAGCACAATATGCCATTAGATCAGTCAGGTATGCCTTACCTAATTTTCAAGAATTATGTCTCGATTTTTATTTTAATGATAATTCTATCTTGCCTTAGGACTAACAGTGATGATTCCAGTGACATAGAAAACGACAAAGGATGCGAGTGTCACACGTGTAACGAAACAGAAGTAGACCGTACGGTAAATATTTACAAAACATGAGCATATCTCTTGATATTATTATTTTAAAGTACACAACAGTAATCCAATAACGAAAAATGTCCATCTTTTTTGAATATTTGAAACAAAATTATTGTGAATATATAAAATAATTTTAGTAAATAATGGTTCTTTTTTTACTTTAGTATTTAATTACTATATTTAAAAAATTTAAGTAGAAATTATCTATTTAATGATTCTAACGTCTATAAAATTATAAATTTTTAAGAATTATAAAAATAATTGTAAAATTTAAAACTTTTATATTAGAATTCTGAGTTATGATTGAGTTAAAAATTATGTGAAAAGTAATTTACACTTAATTATTTACGATGCATTTTTATCATACAGAGTACACAAAGTAAAGTTGAAAATGCCGAGAGAAACTATGTACGTTCTCTTCCATCCATTAGCAATGGATATCTGGGTAAGTAATTAAAACAAATTATAAGTAAAAACGTTGAATAAAAATTAAATTTACTTTCAGAGGAACCCACGAATTGTACAGCGACAAAACTTAAGAAGAAACTAGAGGTTTTGATTGATATAGATAAAAAGAAGAAAGATACCGGCACGCGTGACACTTCGCGTAAGAACGTTAACTCAAAAACATCCGAACAAGAGCCTTGTTTGTGTGTTTATCAACATGCCCGAGAAATAGCAGAAAGGAAGAGGGAAGTTCTTGAAAAACCGCCTTGTCCCTGTTTGCTGAATTCGAGACACAAGTGGGAAACGTGTCCTTGCTTGACTAAAGGTATGTAAGATTTCTGTTATACATTATTACATAATTTGGTAAAACTGAAGAATAGGGCACCTCTTGAGGTCCTAATCCTGAGTAACAAAAGAAAGATTTTAGCCGGTGATTATTTATTAAAAAATTATTAACAAAAGAAGTTTTTTGAATAGAACACAGCATAATTTTCCCCAGCATGTATATTTAATAAAATGTATTCTTAACAAAATCATTTACTTAAACATAGTGAATTGAATGCGTAGGAGTAACTTCTCTCTCCTGCATCCCCCCTCCAAAAAAAAAACCCTAACCTACCCCAACCTAACATATTGAAGACTATTATTCGGGGCACATGATTCCTCGGTGTGTTTGCTGAACAGTTTTAGTTTTTATAGTTTAGTATTTAAACGATTTAATGGATATATCAGAATTGAAAAAAAGTGTTGGTATATTTATCATAATTATAGAGTTTTTTAAATACAAATTCTTTAAAGTAATTCTTTAAAGAAATAGTAATCGAACGATCACGTGCGCCGTAGCACGTGGAATATTACTCTCTTTGCTTTCGACTATGGTAAGAATGTGTAGCGCACATGATCATATTATACATAACATACATATTTATATTTCCTTTTTAAATGGTGTCCGAAAATTACGAGGAGGTCCCGAATTTCCCGAAGAATTATTCATTCCAAATAATATTTTGCCTCTTCGGCATGAGTTAGATTGGATTAGAATTTTTTCGGAAAGAGGGTGCAAGGGAAGAAGTTTTACTCACGCATTTAATTCACCAAGTTTAAATAAATAAATTTGCTAAGAATAAATTCTATTAAATGTTTATGGTGTCAGAAAATTACGTGTTACTTAGTAAACTTTTTTTTAATAACTTTAATAAATAATCATCGACAGCTAAAACTTTTAAAACATTACTCTGGGTAATGACCTTAATAACATATGTTGAGTTCAAAGTTGTGTTGGGAAGTTCCCTTTTTTTTTATCCATAGGTTTAGCCATAATTTAGTCAAATTATGATAAACAAAATTATTTCTTTTTAACAATATAACTATTAATACAGCTGTAGTCGGTTCTGTTGTAACGAATGGTCGACCCAAAGCAACGTCGCCGATTTCTGTCGTGAAGGCCAATTCAGAGCCGAGTCAGAAACCTGCCGTAAAGACTGGTTCTATGCAATCCGCCCAGCCCCAAACGAGGCATTCTACCACGCAAACGCCGAATACAACTCACAGTCATAATATGCAGGGTTGGTAACACGCGAGCAGCGATTTGTTCTTACATTTTCGTAATCCCGTCTCGATGAATCCTTTCTTTATCATTTCAACAATTGTTTATTTTAATTAAATCAAATTCTACAATGATAGATTATTAGATCGATGATAAATGGTCGTGCTCGTATTTATATATTTTAAAAGTTTTAGCCGACGGTGTCATTCTTTATTTGGACGAGTTTTTAAGAATATTGAAAGAATTGGATATTATAGAAATTAACATAAATATTTCAAACTTAAGTGTTATAAGTATTGAAGAGTCACGTGTGCGAAGCAAGATAAATGTATGTCGAATAAAATTAATATATAAACACGAAATTTAGCACGAGCTAAGCATAGCTCTATCATATATTTTAATTTTGTAATATATGTATGCTTATTTATATTGTTATTTATTATTGCGTGCATATTTTCACATGTCTTGTTTTTAAACGGGGACAGGTAATACTCATTCTCATACCCACGGACCGCTATCGGATATAGCGAAAAACACAGCCCCGTCTCATCCCAGACTTCACCAGCTTAATCATACACCGCATGCGTGCCACAAGCAAGCCAATGTTGAGCACATCAAGAGAGTGTCGTGTAATGATTGTCAGTATACATGTATTATGTATTTGAATTTCATCGCTTGGACTTTCAGAATTTTATCACGCTTTAATCTAAAATTTCAGTGAGCTCCGGAGACGGTGAGTGTTCGGATTCGATAAGCAGTCGGGGAGACTCTTGTTCCAGCAGTAGCTCCGCGCAGAGGGACACAAACGCGAGGCATTGCGATTGTTGCTACTGTGAAGTCTTCGGCCACGGGATGGTGAGTCTGTCTCAATATAACTTCAAACGAACGAAAGAAATTGCATGGACGAATGTCCAAACTGAAGAAGTGACGAGAGTAAGATTAATAAGTGCATCGTTTCTAGACGTCCGTTGCGCCGGTAAGTCGAACCTACAAAGAAACGCGGGAACGATTGCGACAACTTCTGACGAAGAAGAAAGCAAAAAAATGTAAAGCCGGCTGCAGCCCGCCAAAGAGCCCATCGGAGTCGTTGACTCCTAAAACCAACTCCGAATTTAAGCCTGTGACGATTGTCCGGACGAACACTCCGACTTTGTTGTCGTCCTCAGTTCACGATCAACAAGATCAGCGGGATTTGGAGGAGTTGTTGGAGTTCATCGAAGGCAATCAAAGCGGGAAAAAAGAGAACAATAAGAAGGCCGAAAAGAAAGCGAGGCAGAAGCAACGAAAGGTTTGTTTTAAATTATACTTTACTGTACTGTATTCAGTTTGACGTAGAGTATTGATGTGTTGATTCTCTTTTGGCAGCTTGAAGAAAAGTTAAAGAAGGATCGACAAGAGGCGGAGAGACAAAAGTTGATAGAACTGCAAAAAAAGACACCAGAGGTAACGATCACTGTAGTCGATCCTCAAAAACCCGTACCTCAAAGACTATTACCTCAATGTAATTTACCGGAAGTTTCTATTTGCCGACGTCGCCATCAGTTTCTCTACCCACGATAAAACAGTTGAACAATAGGAAAAAAGATAAGCAAGAAGTTTGTAGCAATAGTCATAGCAATAGTCATAGTATTACTAATTTGAATAACAAAGCGAAAGCGGTATCAGCGAATTTAAATGCGAAGAACAAGAGTATTAATAGCGCAGAAAATGCGAGGTACGAAGTACGAGTTCTAACCAAGGATACAAGAGTAACGTGAAGAGCGATAAAGTTGAAAGCAATAAAGGCAACAAGCTACCAGCAAGTATTAATACTGCGTGTACAAAAAATAGTTCAAATAATAATGTGGATAAATTATCTGACGTCGACTTACTAGACAAGAAATTGACGAAGAAGGAAAGGAAAAAACTGAAGAAGGAAATGAAGAAATTGGAAGAAGCGAAGGCAAAGGAGAGCGAAAATACGGCACAAACAGAATCTCAACCGCAAATAGTCACTATTAGGAGGGAGATAAATTCAAATAGCGCCGAACCTACGGTCACGATCACTCTGAAAGGCCAGACTCCGGCTGAGGATAAAGTTTTATTCACACTAGTGAACGGACAGACTAAAGAACCACCCCACAAGTCGGAGCAGGAACAAAATCAGAGCAACAGTGGAAAGAAGAAGAAAGGCAAAGCAAATAACAACAATAATACTTTACAACAGGGAAACAAGTTACAGCAGTCGAATAATTCGAAGCAACAGACTTCGCAAACTTCGTCCAAAGCTTGCAACGATGGTAAAAACTCGAAGCAGCATGCGAATAACGAGAAGTCAAAAACCGGCAAACAGGTGGACGAGAAAAAAGTTCAACAGCAGAATGTCAATGAGACGAAAAATTCCAAATCGAAGAAAGACAAGAGAAATACAGAAAATAAGGAAAATGTGCTGCAACAGCAGAATACGATGAACAAGAACAAGAATCAACAAAATGCTACCAACAACAAGAAACAGAACAAAGCAAGTACTCCTCCTCAAACACCTGTTTCGCAGAAACAACAGCAGAATCAGAATATTGCGAACGACTCTGCGACTAGCAAAAAGGCAAAGAAGCAGCAGCAACAGCAGCAGCAACAGCAGCAGCAGCAGCAGCAGCTGCATCAACAACACCAGCAAGATAAAAATGTACAATCAAATGCCAATAAAAGCAATAAAAATATTAATATTAGCAACGCCAATAATAAGAACGTGTCGAATAAAAGTGAGCCTCAAAAGAACGCGAATAAGATGAATCAAATTACTATGAGCAAGCAACGTGCGCCTACGGAGGTTCAAAATGCATGTACTGAGCGGGTTAGCTCGCCCTCGCTCAGTAGCCAGTTCAAAGACATCGGTCCGAATTCCAAGATCAACATCGAAAATCTGAAGTTACCACCGGGCATCACGATTACGAAGGTCGACGCGCCACCGAAGCCGATACCGATCAAAACGGCTCCCTTGCCGAAACCAGTGAATCCGCCCAAACAAACTACTATTATCGCCGCGCCGATGAGTGGCGTTCAGTCGAGCTATGCAAATCCGCAGGCCGGTGGGAATGTCATCGTAGTGGACACGGGCAAGCTCAAGCAAGATCTGCTACCAAAACCCAATGAAAAAGGTATGTAAAGATTAAGTGAATCTTTTGCTGCTTTATTTTTACAATTATGATCTTTTTAATAAATGCAAAAATTTTCTTTTTTTCAAGAAAACTTGAAGACAATTATAAAAATCTGTTAACAGTTAACAATCAATGAAATTGTAGTTATCTTTAAAGATTTCACAAAATAAAATAAAATTTTTAAACACACTCTTTCTAACATAGAATTTTCTGCTCTTAATAAATGATTCGTATAAAACATTCTTTTATTGTATATAGATTCGTCAAAGGATCAACCTCAGAGCACCACTGGCAGCAAAAAAAAGAAGAAGAAGAATAAAAACTCGGCCAATTCAGGCAATGCGGCGTCTACGTCGCCGGTGCAGAACAGCGACACGTTCGCGAGCGAGCACACGATGGACGAGCCCGCGAGGATACTGCACAATCCTGGAACGAATATGGTGACTATCAGGAATCCGTCATTCGGGCCGATGAAAGTGCCGCCGACGCAACAGGCAGCTATCATCAAGGTGTCAGACAACGGTATGGTAACGATTCGCAGTCCGGCTCTGCAGCAGGCGATCAATGCGGGCCTGACGTCACCGCCCAAGCCCGATTACATCGTCAAGGGTGACCTATTGTCATCATCGGCAAACAAGACGTCGACAGCAACGGCCGATTGTGGCACATTGAACGTGAAACACGCGAATGGTATTATATCGTCGAGTCTGGCAGAATTGCGCAGCCGGTTGACCGGACAGTCGGACTGCGCGTCGTCCTTGTCAGGCCTCGCAAACATTCAGATCAGCAAGGTGACAAATGGCCAGCCGATACCGGAGAACGGTATCAATCTCAAAGGCACCAGCGTCACTCTGACGAAGGTTAGGCCTGAGGCAACGAGCATGGAGGATCCGCGTCAGGTGAAGAGCGCCGCGGCGAAGGAAACGACGATAAGCGTCGCCTCGATTACGGCGGCCAACGGCAGCGGCGGCGGCGGCAGCGGCGGCGGCGGCGGCGGTGGCAAGAGCAAGAAGAAAAAGAAACGCGGAAACGGTTCAAAGCAGAGCGGAGATGACTGGAACCTCGTTGGTGAGAAACAACAATAATCAGACTTTAACATGTAAATTTGCTTCTTTCGTTTTGTTTGTTTTCTTCAACACACCTTATATACTACACGACAGGCATTACAGAACATGCATCTTCTAAATTGTTCTCATTTTTGTATTTTTTTTTTTTTTATAGTAAAAACTACTTTTTTTTAGACATTTCTAGATTTAGTCGCACGATGACGACTTTTTCTTTCGTTTTATATAGTCGGAAAAATTGAAATATGACTTCGAATTGTCTTTGATAAGTCGAAAAAAAAAACGGTTTTCTTGAATGCCGAATATTCTCGAGATTGAGAGAGAGTAAGAGAAGAAAAGTGAGATGCCCTCGAAAATTGATCTCCATGAAATACAGAAGACAAAAACAGGTGGTCAATGAACACTATCTTTCATTAATTTTCTTTTTTGCATTTCCCGCGCAAGTCGTTTCGACTCTTTTGACTCTTGCACGAAAAAAAAGAATTTTGCTAGCGAAATCATTATTGTTGCACATTAGATATGAGCAACAGAATTTTGAATTAATTAGTTCTTTAACTTATTTCATATATTATATATGTACACTACCGCTCCTTAATTTCAATACACCACCCAAATCTCTTGAGGGTACACTGCACACCACCAAGAAAAACCTTCTCCAGGCGAGCAATTTCACGCAAACTATGTCCTGCATTTCTCAAAGCGACTATGGCAGATCGCTTTTCGATTGATAACTCCTTCTTGGAAGCCATTTTTTACGAGACCACTTTACACATTTTCACAAGTTTTCACAATATCACAGTACAAGGCGAACACCGGAGCCCTTTCACTGTGTATGTGTTGATAAATGGGTTTCAAAACAGCATTGGGCGTATATCTGATCACTACGAGAACCTCGTAACCTTGCGCACGTATTTTGTTTATTTCCAGGGATCTGACATTATCCGGCTGTTAATTTCGTTTCTTCGAAAACTAGTTTTCAAAAATTTTTATATAAATAATGTTTAAATACGATGCATGTGAGTGCTGAAAGTATTTTTAACAGCAGGTGGACTCATTTCTGTGCAAAATATACGTATCACATTCATTCTTTACAGAGAAATTAACAAATCTGGGGTGTATTGAAATTAATGAGCGGTAGTGTACATTCTTTTTTGTAGCTACAAAATGAAATGCTCGAATTTTGTGCTCGATGTAGCTAAATGTCAAGTTGCTAGTTTAGATGTCACATCGTCGTATTATGATAGATCATTATCAAACGTTCGATTAATGGAAATGAAAAATAATGAATAGATAAATCATTTAACTAGAATTACATTGACTTTGACAATGGAACAATCTCGTTGTGATAGGTGATACATTATATTATAGAGTGTAACACCATAGTATATGCGATATTCTTTAATCTGCTGATGGCATTAAATAAAAGGAAACATTATATTTTCTTTAATAATTTTTTTATATTCTCTTTTTCCCTTTTCAAAATGGATGCTTCTCGAGAAATGCTGCATGAGTATGGGTAGTCAATCTCATTTTTTTTTTCTTTTCTTTCATTCAAGACATTACAACTTTACTGTCTACAGATCACAATAAATTTAAAATAATGGAATTTTTCAAAAATGTTTCTTATCTTATTTTTAAGAAATATCTTAATTGTAATAAAAACCAAAAAATATGATATTTCTATTAATAGCTTTTTTGTAATAAAACACAATTAAAGTCTGCATAATTGTTGCCAATGCAGTGTTAATTTAAGAAAAAACTTGAAAAGCATTGATATGAATTTGTGTTTTGATTGTCGAAGACGACATGCAAAACATAGCACACACAATTCTCCCGCTCTTTTTCTCTTTTTTTTCTAATTCTTGTTTCTACCCATATTCACACAGCACTCTTGATAAACATTTTAAAAAAAGACGAATGCACAGCAGATTTTGCTATTCATTGCCGGGCTCACGATATCCAATATTCAGAATATGTTTTTTTTGCAGATAGCGTATTCAGACCAAAAGATATAGAAGACCTTGAGAACGGAGAGATGGACGAGGGCGATCGCGAGGTGGAGGCCTTCAAGAGATTCTGCTTACAATCGGTGCCGGTGCCGAACAAGGAGAAGGTCAATCTCAATATCAAGGACATCGTGTTGAAGAAAAAATCGTCGTCCTCGTCGTCATCCTCGTCGTCGTCGACGGCAGCTACTGCTGCTGCCACTGTGATAGCGGCCAATTGATTTGTCGAATAATCCCCGCGTTCATTATTCGCGTACAATACACGATTACTGCCATTGCATGATGGTTCGATGCACGCGGTGTCCGGACGCGATCACACGATTTACGATTCGCGTCCTCGTCGACGTTGCGCCGCGTTTTTAAAAGAAAGACGAATGTATAATGCCTTGTAGAAGAGTGTGACCGTTAGTGATTCTTTAACGAGGAAACGGAGCGGAGGGACGACTCGTTGGACGATTAGACGACGTCGCTGTATATGTGTATCGTTAAATATAAATCAGGGAACGAATTCCTTGCGCTGGATTCGTCGCTTCAAAAGCGTCGTTCTGAGATGAGATCAACGGCATTTGTAAAAAATTCGGCCTTGCCGACACTTTATAAATAAATGCAATTGTAAAGATTAACATAAAAATGTGAAAATGTCACGAGAAGCCGCACAGAAGCGTCTGTGATTCCAAGAGCTTCATATTGAAAAATTGGCGAGTTTTACGCCCACTTCACACAATGACACAGACACCTGCACACATACATACACACACACACACACACCCTCACTCATACTCACCATACATGTGCGTGATCATGAAGATAGATGTACACATTGTCTCTATTTTCTTTCTTTCCTTTTTTTCAATAAAAGTAGATGCGTATTTCTATCTACTTAGAGCGTCTATATCACCTCTATGTGTCTCTGTATCTATACATTCTCCTCCTACGAATAATCTATATTCATATAAGTAGTCTCTATTAGCGTAGTATACATCGAAGAAGTTTATATATATAGTATATATATAATTCTCAACATGTACGTCGCAATGTTTCTTATTGTATTGTAATTAAAGTACTTTTTATACGGTAGACACGAAACTAGGCGTATGAGGCGGCAGTCTGTTATTTTTTTAGCACTTGTATATAAATTTTATCCCCTTCTATATATACTGCCAAAAGATCAATAGAAATATCATTGCTGTGTTATTTCCATTTATTATATTTTTGTTACCTCAGTAATTTCTTTACAAATAATAATTACTTAATAAAGAAAGTAGTTTGTCCGTCGTACTATTAAAAAGGAATTGAATCAAGAATTGATTGGGATTGAAATTGATTGAAAGTTATGTAAATGCTCTCAATGTGTGATCTCTTCTTAATTTTAAACTTAATCCCCCAAGAGTGTTAAATATAATAGAATATTAGAGCTCTAAGATGTTTTGTTCTCGAAGTCATTCTATTTAATTTACTTCACAAATACGTAAGGAATATTTATTTATTTATTGTTAAAAATTAACATAAAATGCGCTATGTTGAGAACTATAGTTTAAAAATGGATATATATATATAAAAAGACAATTAACATAAATTTGATTTAATTAATCATTTAATAAGGTAGTTAACAAATTTTAAAGCAATTATGATATGCATGTTTTGCTTTTTCAAAAGCATAAGGCATTGCCAGTTATTAGAAATTTTGGTATTCAATACTTTACTACGTTATTAGATGTCTCGTAAATGCACTTCTTTTCAATTGTTTTCACAAAATATCGGTGAAATTTGAAATTTCACATAAATCTGTTTCCACGTATATATTTTGCATCATCACTTTTATTCAAGCAACAACAATTACACCTATAATGAACGATAATAATTAACAAGAAATAATAATTTCCATCGAAGTCTTACGATTATCCTAATCACTTTTAACTACTACCACTAATCAGCCTCTTATTATTTGCACAACGTAGAGTGATATATTGAATAATTTATCTTTCTTCAAACCGAAGGTTTTTTGAAACCATTGCAATTTCAGTAAATTTCCATTGTCGCGAATTATTCACGAAAATTAAATTCAACGAGATTACATGGATTTTCATCTGAATGTAAATACCTAAACACTTCAAAAAAGCTTCAAAAAAGCTTCTGGAATTAACAATCTAGATTCGGAGTCGTGTGTGGGGGAGAAAGAGTTACCGGTGTCATCGAGGAGAGTGATCGTTCGATCGATTGTATCGCCGGGGCGTGTTTGATCAACATATGCCGCAGGGATTGTGCTTCCTCTCGAAGGGTCACTATCTGCGCCTTCAGAATCGCATTCTCGTGCTCCAGCATCGTCGCCCTTAAAGCAATCTGTACGTATAAAAAATAAATTGATATATATACAATAGAGATATATTCAAAGGGGAATTAGATTCGTGTGTGAATTGATTGAAATGTTGAACTTATTTGCACCACTTGTTATTTGTCGAACTTAATTTACATTGCTTCCTATCAAAACCTTGAAAAAAAAATTTATTTCTGTTCTTACATGATCCTCCCTGATTTTGCGAGCATCTCGCGACTTCTTTGCCGCCTGATTATTCCTTTTACGTCTCTCGTAATATTTTTCGTCCTTCTGATCGTCCGGGATAGGTTTCTTTTCGCTTCTAGGTCTTTTGTGTAAACTAGTTATACCATTCGTGGTGATAAAATGACGATTCATAGAACCTGTTTTAATATAATATGAATACAATATGAACAATTAATGCAATATTTAAAAAGTTGAAAAAAATTGCCCCGGGTGAGGATCGAACTCACGACCTTAAGATTATGAGACTTACGCGCTGCCTACTGCGCTACCGAGGCAGTTGTTATCGTCTTTTCAAGAATACAAATAAACACTTAAACATCTTTTACAAATGTTTAATATATTGAACAATTATTTGTAGACTAAATCGAGCACTAAAATAAAATAAAAATTATCTTACCAGTAGGGGAAGTTGAAAGCGGCTGAGGCACACTCAAGGATTGCATCAAGGGCGGCACTGCCGCTAAAAAAGGTGGCTGAAGCAGAGTTCCGGGAAGTGAAAACGTTGCCGACAAAGAAGAGGGTCTTAACGGCGAGGATGGAGACTCTGCTGCCATGGAATTCGATAAGATATCCGATTCGAAGCTATAGTCTCGAGACGGATACGCTTCGTACCTGTACAGATCTATAATAAAAATGAGAACTTAACTAACTTAATATGCATAATGTACATTCTTATCCTATTTATTTAATTGATATTATTAAATATAAAAAAAAAATGGAATTTTTTGATTGTCAGAAGGTACTACAAGATTAAAGGATAACCCAATGACAGCCCCTGTGGCCTAATGGATAAGGCATCGGTCTCCTAAACCGGGGATTGTGGGTTCGAGTCCCACCAGGGGTACAATTTTTTTTTTCTTTTTTTTTAATTATTAACAATAATTTTTTATATCATTTAGTAATCAAGATATTATATATTATTAAGACGTAAAAACTCAAGATATTAAATAGAAATACTATTCCGTCAATAGAAAATCTTTTTATTGTATAATCAATTAATCAATTTATTTATTATATTTAATTAATCAATCAATTAATTCATTGCATACAATATATTTTTCTATATAATGTCTGTGAATTTACCTAACATTTATGATTTTCCATAAAACAAACACTAACTTTGTTCTTTCCTCCTCTTCCTACACGATTAATCAGTTTCATATGAAAGTTTCAGTTCGTTCACTGCTTGATCGATGGAAAATTTATTTGACACTTGGAAATTTTGCTAACAAGGGGTGAAACTTTTACTCCGCTCGGTTACACTGTGGCAATTATGTGCGGCATGCTACCGACGATAAAACATTAGAGTCTAAATATCGTGATAATGCAATGACTCGTCATGCTTCGTGTGAAACTATACAACCGTTAGCGTCCACACAAATTGCTGTGACTGTTATAACTGGAGTCGTAAAATTGGTTTAGACTTTAACTGCTCATAGTTACAATTTTAAAAAACGTTCATAATTAGAATTTTAATGTTAAATTGTAAACAATTAATTAATTACAAGATTTTGCATAAACTCTAAAATCTCGATAAATAATAATTATTGATTTGTCTTACAATTAATTCTCCAATATTTCAAAAATAACGCAATACTAGTTTTAACTATTTTTTCTTTATCTTAATTATTAGGAATATTAATAAATGCAAAAAAACAGAGAGAAACTGAGTTTAAAAAAAACCTCCACCGTGACAATGTTTGTACATTGCCGTGACCAGGATTCGAACCTGGGTTACTACGGCCACAACGTAGGGTCCTAACCACTAGACGATCACGGCTACTGGAGGAATTGAGAAAGGACTGGAAATTATTGAAAATCAACGTTGATATTGGACAACTTGTTCAATTATGCATAACGAAGCAAATGTAAAGAAAACAAAGAAGCGATCTATTATATTCCAAATATTTCTCAATCTGACATAACATAAGAACTAAAATAAAAAGGTGTATTGGATTTCAAGGTGTTCCAGCATCGCCGAAAAATTTTTGATGGAGAGAATGTAAATGATAGATGAACAAGAATGGTAATTTTTCAGGTGTCATCGATGATATGATTTTAACTAGACAAATTTAATGCACACTTTACGCACCTGAACTCGGAGCGAAGAGACTGTAACTTCGCAAGAGATGCAACGCGGAAAATGCGCCAGAGACTGCGTTTCCGGTGCACATCGTCCTCGCATGAGAGTGCGAACTCATTTCTTGAAAGATAATTTTCAATATTCACGATTATCGTAGATTCCACGCATATCTTCGATCAAACAATGAATTCTTAATTGCCAAAATATTTATAGGCATCACGATGCAGTCATTAGATCATAATGTTACACTAATTAAATACGATAATTTTTAAAGTCAACTTTAACGGTCGTTTTAAGTATAAAATGTGCCGCATCTTTCGATAAATCAAGAGATTTCAGTTGTCAATAATTGTCCACATTCAATCACGGCGGAGAAATCTCTTTCCAATAACACGTGTTTTCTTTTATCGTTACAGTTTACTTCACTTTAGTTTTTCCTTTACAGTTTATTTCATTATTTATATATGCGTTTTAGATATAGTTTTACAATAATACGAAGATAAAACTTTAGATTTGGTATTTTACTTAACTCTCATATGGCTTCATTATCCTTGATAACTCTGTTAATATCAAAATTTCCGGTAACTTAATTACTTGAATACTTCAACGCTATCGATACATTTTACATGATTAAGAATTTTGCGACAGAATTTTGAACTCGATATTTTATTTAATTTGTTTAATGACATTCACACGAATCACTTATTACGTCCGTTGAAGAATGCTATTACTTCATCGAAAGGTTTAAAGTCGATTGAGAAATGTTATAAGTTCACCAAAGTTCCAGCATCTCTGTCGAGGAAGCCGCGAGCTGTCGCACATTCGAGGAGCACTCGGTTCGTCGCTGCGACGATCGGATTTACAACTCGGCCCGACCGCTGGATTACCTTAGCGCGATGACGTGCCGTGTCACGTCACATGTTGCAGCATCGTGAACATGTAGGCGCGAGGGCCACTCAATTCGTCGACGGTGAAAGAACGTCCCGCCTCTGGGTGCATGCGCCCTGACCTGCAGCTTGATTCGCCGATGTGTCATTAGGCGGTAGCTAGCTAAGGGTGAAAGGAGAGTACGGACGCGTTAGCCGGCCAATCGCGTTGTGTCACCCCCACGAAGCGATCGCCGTCGTATCGCAAAGGCAATCTGCAATCCGCAGCACATAATACATCGCGTGAACATCATCGACGATGTGCGAAAGGACACGTCGAATCAGATAATCGACGACAGGAGTTCTATAACGCTCTCTCTCCGTAGCAATGAATATTGGATAATGTATAATTATTTTTCTTTCGCTGTATCGTATCATTAACGACATCTTGGCGTTAATTCGAGATACTGAAGCATTCAGAGTGGATACGGTTTAGATACGACTATAATATCTGGAGAGTGAATTTTATAAAATGCATTATTATTTCTTATATAAATAATAAATACATAAATGACATAATTAATCTATATGAATCGATGGATGAATTCGATTAATTTTAGAGATAAAATTGTACTTAAAATGAAAGCAGAATTACGAATCTGACCTGTAATAAAGGCACTATATATCGTGCGCCCTAAAATATTCATTGGCGCGCAAGAATAACGACCAGTCCCGCAATTTCAAGTAACCGGAGAGATTCTGATCTTCCAATCATTACGCCCATATTATCTGCGATTCGTGTGGTTCATCGCTCGACGGTACAAGTCGCGGTCTCGCGATGACTGATCACGGGTGCTTATCGCATGTACATATCTACGGCCTCGATCTGTAATTCTTATGACATGTGTAATTTTTAAAGCCACTTGTCACTTATTTATCATCGCATATTTCATCCTATTTAATATAGAAAAAGAGAAACATTTGTTTATTAATCCTAAAGTATACTGCCTAACGACAGAAAAAATATATATAAATAATAACAGGAGACAAAAATAAAAATGCAAAATGCTACATTAAGTGAAACAAACAATAAGCTCCAAGAGCGATAACCGAGATTATGAGATGGAAGCATCATTTGCTTCGAATCATCAAGTGATTTCTTCGCGTTATCTCGAATTTTCGGAGCTGCGGGAAGAAGAACCGCGAGATTATGTTGTTAAGAAGAAAGGAAAAGCCGCGAGAAATCGTGCGAGGTCGAGCAAGTTTGATCGAATCGGTAGGGAAATCCAGGAACTTTTCGCACGAGCGGGCGAGTTTAACGCGATTCTTCGGCCGCTCTATTTTCAGAAATTACGATCTTCTTCCTTCGCCCTTCTGGGAGACTTCGGGCGGCGATGCAGGTGCAAGTCTTGCAACATGCGAGGAGAAACGCGTTATATATGTACACGCGCCTCCTCGCGGTCTCACATAGCCGTCACGTAAGTACGTACGCGGCCTTACTAATGTGTCTCTGGGACAGTCAGCACCTGACACTTTCACGTTACTCTATATGTATATATATATATATACACACACAAATGTTTAATGCGCCGCCGGTAATTATTATGAAGTAAATTAACCGGCGGCGCGCTGTAGGTATTAGATCGCTCTCCCCTCCCTTTCCACCCCCCCCGGATTCCATCTCATTAATGTTGCAACTCGTTCTTCCTGTAATTATCCTCTAGCCCGCGATTAACGGTCAAGAGATCGATTGCCTTCGCGGTTGCGATCGTGCCACGCGGACGTGTGCCGAGTCCTTTGACCTTCGCGTTTCTATATGTACACCTATACCTCTCGATTATGTTATTCAGTCGGCATAAAAGAGTCTAAGAAAGATCGCGAAGAGAAAATACACTCTAACTTTCTCGAACGGTTCTTAAATTCTTGTGCTGTTTGAACCGCATTTTTTTCGTCGGGAATAAAAGGATGAAGGAGACAATTATACAATTTACTTCTTCAATATCAACGATAACGAGGAAGATTGAGGATGAGCGAGCTGTTACACACCTGTCTGCCATTCGCGAACAATACCGTAGACCCACATAAATTTAACTCCCGGCAGGGCACGCACGGACGGGGTTAAATAACGTCATTTAGTATCGTAATATCTAATTTACTGCAGAAGGGAGCGACGAGCCTTGAACGGAGGGGGGGGGAGGCCCACATGGTCGTGATCCCACGACGCCGCAATTACAGGCGCCTTCGAAACAATGATGTGTCCCTCCGCGTGAGCGAAAGATTAAACGCACGTTTGAATATTGCTGCGCTATTTTCTTTCGCTTGTAAAATTTTTCATACCTTGAGATTTATCTATTTTATCTGTCACATAGATTTAATTTTTTTTTTTTATAGAAAATTCTGTCTTTCCGGCAGATTTAACAGTACACGCACCTTCTCTTAATCGCGTCTTTTTTTATAAAATTCAACCCTTGTAGAGATCGATCGAGCCGCAGACATTACGAATGCGCTTCTTGTCGCCCGCTTGTTGTGCCCGGATGTGCTCGTTATCATTATGTGGCTGGATTTGTGCTGATAACGGGGCGCGCTTCCGCGCTCGCGATCGGACCTGCTCGTGCGAACCCGAACACCTGTCGGCGACCACCAGGTAACGTGACATCACGTCACGTGATGAGCCAGCGAGCTGGCGAACGCACCCCCGAACCCGTCCCCGCCGGCTCCGTGACGCGTTCTGAAGGTAATCGGTCTAATCGACGTCCCAAGAAAAGTAGGTACATAAAGGATTCACGTGTGGCGATTTTTCATTTACTTCATAAAAGATTGTTTACTCAAGTAAGCTTAAAGTGCTGCTACTTTTCTTCGTCAGAAACATAAAGAAAACAACGATCAAATTAATGCGATTTAGAAAAATTGAGACATATTTCTAATCGAAGTTGTTTCGCAGAACGCGCCTTTACACTTTAAAAGCTTGAAATTTAAATTTTATTTTTGTATAGATTCATTCTGTGAAGAGAGAAATAAATATTATTACATGCCTACATTACATTTATGTATCTAAAATATCAATTATTGTCTTAATTCAAAAGATATGTGTAACATCCGCTTTAAACGGATTTATAATTTTCGACGTAATTCAAGACGGAAGTCTATCTATAATTTCATGTAATAAAAAATATGTTAAAAATCAAAATACACACATTATAGATGCATATACTGCACATGTATGTATATTCTAATTTTTCAAACGTTTTCTGCATACACATATAAAATTATAAATAGAATTCTATTCGGAATTCGCAATTCTATTCGCAATTTATTGCGACAAAATTGCGTTAAAGAATCTCTCAAAGGACTTTTTTTATTGCTCTATTAATGTTCGATTGATCTCGCAGCAACGTTTGCGAAGTTGTCTGAATTTCAGGAAAAGATCACTTGGAGTGTTATCAACGACCCCGTGCTCAAGAGTTGACAAGCGTTTTCCCGCGGAAACGCGGCCGCTTCCTCCCCGCACGAAGCCGCCTCTCACGCAGCGTACACACCAAGTTCGTCGTTGTACACCCCGGAACAGGACAGGGCGGTATCCAAGGAGGTCGCGTGTCTGCCCCTTAGTTTCGTCCCGCCGCCACCCTCCCTGCATCCGCAGGAAGCACGGATTCTCCTTTCACCCTCCGCACGAAGTCACGTATCGTGACGCCCGTTGTTTCACAACTTAGGCAAAGTTATCTCATCAAGTCGTCACGAGGACGCCTCCCTCCCGCCATCCCCCGCCAAGTCCTGATTAAACTTTTCTTACTTTTGCGGCTCGGGGAGGGTATTTATAATCTCGCGCCGCTCTCCGCGCCCTCTCAGAGCCGCAGAATCGTTATCAGGACTTAACTAATTAGCGGCATTTCGGTGGAAAAGAATTCATCGCTCGCTCGCGTTTTACGTCTTTTCAGTTATACCGAGCGCCCGCATTATGTCGATTCGTTTAATTCTCTCAATTCGGCGCTTAATTCTCATCCGCAACGTCAAATCAATAATTTTTTATTTAAAAAAAAGTATTTTATTTGTTGTACTTTCAGCAATAACGCGCAGTTAAACGGCGGCGATTCGCATAAATAGACTTCAATGCCAGCATTCGACGTGTCAAGCGTATTTGTTATCTTCAATCGAAGAGAAAAACGCGTGTTATGCAATGTGAGATGCAATTAACTCTTTATTAAAAGTTCCGAATTAAAATATGAGCTAGACAATTTAGAATCTCGGCGCATCTTCTTGAAAAAAGAAATATACTCTTTGAAACAATCAGTAAATTGTGATAAAAAAATACAGGCTGACGAAAGAAGTCGCTCGAGTGAACGACGTGCTCCAGGCAACGGCCACACCAAGGGGGCTTAATCATTTAGACTATTTGCCCCCGTTGGAGCACGCCAGGCCATCTACAGCCCTTCGGTTCCCAGGCTGTCGGCAAATTGCGGCTTACCGCGCCGGCACGGTTCTTATCCTGGCGCGCACTCGTCCAGGTAATTCTTGGCGGGCCTCGCTTCGTCGTTCTTATCGGAAACGGCGCGAAACAACAAACGAAATCGCCCACACCACCCGTCTCTCCGCCGGCGAGGAAAAAGTGGAGCGTGGTGCCGGCCCGAGCCCGATTCGCCGCGAGTCTTACCTCTTCTTCGATTCACCTCCATCCTGCCGGCGTAATCTTATTTTATCGTGCCGCTTTTACAGGACTATCATAAATCACCATCATAAATCTTATTAGCGGAAAGGTCGTGCTATGATTTGCGTTGTAGTTGAACTGGTAATCGCAACAATGACAATTTTCTGCAAATAAATGAAAAATACTAAATTATTTTCTTGCAAAAAATTATAGCGTTAAATTGTAAAGTACGACGGCTAAAAATATTCCACTTTTATTTGCAATAATTTCTGCAAGACGTAGAATTCATATATATAAAAATATAATATCCACACGTAATAATATTAATTTATAATAATTTTTATATCCGAATATCGCGATTATGCAAATTAATACAAGAGGGGAGAGAGGGACAAAGAAAAAATTTCTTTTATGCGCTTACTAGGAAGCGCAGTGGGCGTTTTGCAGATGTTGCCGTTATTATGGAAAAACGATGACGGCGTGTGTAATTTTGTTATTATCGGATCTATCGCCGGCGCGCCGTCTATTGCGTCTACGCTATTCGCACGTACGTAGTGGCAATTTTATCGTAATTCGTGTACAATACAAGCTAGCCGCTAGTCTAGAAAGCCGTCCGGGGCGGACAATATGAAGGTGCTTCCGTGTATAGCACAGTCACGTTCACTGACTGCTCGCACTATTAATATTTCACATATGCACTCGTCCCTACCGCCCACGCGGACCGATATCGCTCCTCCCACTTTTTTTTTCTTCTCCTCACTCATTTACCCCCTTGACCGTAGGCGTTATTTCGATTGCGAATCGATACAGGGACCGCGAGTCACAACAATTCGTGGCAGCTCGCTTTATTGAAACTCTTCAAAATTAAAATTAAAATTAAAAGAGGCACGTGGAACTCATTTGGCAGCGGTATTTCCACGAATATTACAATTGAAGTTCTTAATCCTACCATGCTTAACTCACATATTTATAGCGCGTATTGAAACATGGTACTTTATACGTTGTATTTTTCACACATTCATAATCCTTTAGACTTTTTCCCGATATATTAGAATATTACTGAGATCAAATTTTGTTGGAGAAATCCGAATCGTTCGCTTATGACAACATTCAGACATATGCATGCCGTGCAAAGATGACATATTTTCCATTAACCTTCTGAATAATAATTAAATCGGGGATGAAGAGTACCAAAAGAACGGAGGAAAAAATCAATTCCATAGTTGATGAAATTCTTAATGAAGAAAATGATTTCGATGCAACAGAAACTTGTCCAGAAGATTGCGAAACACCGCCTAAGGAAGTAAATTATACGAAAGAAGTAGCTTTTCATTCAAGCAGTAATATTTTTAATCAATTTTTAGCGAGTTTTGAATAAATTTTGATTTACAACCAATAACGAAGCTTTTATTTTTATGAAAATCATAATGCAAAGTTTGGTTGACAATTTGACGTTTGACAATTAAATTAGATTAAAATAAGTTATCGTAATTAAATTAATTGTAAGACAAAGAACCTATTGATGAAGATAAAAAAAATTTTCTCTTATCGCAGACAAGCCGGCAATGCAAATGCGCCGTGGAGAATTCATCGAGGTTCTCGCTGCGCGTGATGGAGGCGATGCGCTCGTTGCAGCGCGACGCGGACCAGCCGTCCACGTCCAGCGCCGAGGACATCGTCGAATACATCCGGGCGAATTATCGCAGCGACGGCGACCTTTACGCTCAGGTGCGGACCGCGCTGAGACAGGTCTGTTTTCAAGGGTTAGTTTTCGGCGAGACCTAACTCCGTCAGAGGTCGAAGGTCAGAGAGCGGCGAGAGGGAAAGAGGGAGAGAGGACGCGTAATCTCGCGTGTGAGGACGTGATCGCGTTTCAAGGCAATTGCGCTACTATTGTGCAGCCTATCTCGTTTCCAGGTTGTGCATCTATCGACCGATTTCGTTTACGGGCGAATGCTAATTACGTACGGCAAACTCGTACGGCATGTATCCCCGTGCGAAGTTGTTTCAGCAAAATCTAGTGCTTGAGAGAGGCAATCATAGAATTACAGTAAAAGTCTACACTCTTAACTTAATAAATTGCGATGCAGAATATCACGAGAGTCATTAAGATTATTAACGCAAAATATAAATATATAAAATATGTGTATAATGCAAAAATTTTTTTTCTTTGTACAAAATAATCACTTTTCTTAAGTCATTAATAACTATTTTACTTAATTCTGTTATCTGAAATGAGTTAACAATTATTATTTCATAACAGATTTGCCAAAGAATTATTGAACAACGAGTACCACTTGGTCGGTCCCGTTATTAGTTTTAAGAGGCAGAATGACTGTTCTTTGGATTGCGAAGGTCGCATATCGACGATTACAGATGATATGTTAAGAGGACAAAAAAGCGTCAATAATCACGAAAACCATGCATGTCATTGCAAAAGATTTCCTAGAAGAAACGGATTATCGCGCCAATATCCAAGATCGCTGCGTGAGGAATCTCTTACAAAAACCTTCATCTCCGATCGTCCTGAAGATTCGATAGAACCGAGGTTCCATTCAACTAGAATATCAGTCAATGAAACAAATAATGCGGATGATCGCGATGATAGAAAGTTTGATTCTGAAGAATTACAACACCTTTGCGGTTGCAAGGATACTCGTGATGATCATCGACGTGATGCAACCAGAACACGTGAAATAAAACAACGTGATGAATATGAAGATCCGATTCCTGGGTCTTCTGGAGTGAAGCCTTCGAGGATGCCTTCGCCGATTCCAGCGAGAAACGCAAAGAAAGCGCGAATGGAGGATCGAAGAGCGCAGCGCGCAGAAGACGACGAAGAGACTACTACAGAAGAAGATTTAGATTGCGTTATTTGTCACCCTGACGCTCAGATTTCACGAGAACAGTCGAGAAGACGACGACCCCGTGATCGAGTTTTCATCAGAGATCGTGTTAGACGGAACGGTCAACGTCGCGAGAATGATGAAGAAAACGAAGAAGACGAAATTGGAGAAAGAATGGAAGAGGAAGACGAAGAAAAGGAAGACGAAGGAATGGAAGAGGAAGACGAAGGAGTGGAAGAGGAAGATGAAGATACAGAAGACAGTATATACAGAGATTTGAAGGCGCAAAGTCCTCGCAGACGAAGTAAGGCACGCGAACGAGGAACTGAAAAGGTGGATTCGGCGTTGTCGGCAGGAATGCGAACGACGTATGAGAGCGCGATAACGGATGTCAAACAGCTAATATATGATAAATTATTAAGAAATTGAAAAAATTAATCTAAATTATATCTTCTTAATTGTTTTTCTTAAGCGTAAACTTTAAGCGTATCTTCACAAAATTAATCGCAAAATTTAAATGCCGTAATTCTAATATTTTTTAGATTCTTAAAAATATGGGTATCACTACTGCTATATGTGATAAACATTTCAATTGTAAAATATTAAATATTTGGAATAAAGCGTATCATGTACAAATTAATCTATGTGCTGTAAAAACACATTGAATTATTCAATAGAAATTTTTTGTCTCTCACAAATGATGCAAAATATTCATGTTATGTTAAATGTGAATCCAAATAGAAATAAAAATTTTATCAGATATTTAATAATTCATGTATTAAATAGAAAATTAGCATAATTGCAAATATTATAAGTAGTGTTATACTGTGATTTCTATTATTAAATTAAGCCTCATACAAGATACTCACAGTCAGTATCGCTGGTCGCAGTACTCAACTGTTCTTCTTCGATTCCTTTTGAAGGGAAAATTCCTAACTTTTGCGATACACGCAATACATTCTTCTGCTCATTAATTGGAATCAACAATCCAGATTGTAAGCCGTATAAAAGTGCTTTCTGCACGTAGAATTTAGCTCGCCTTTGCCCTACATAGAAAAATCAACGTAGATCAATGATTATCTAAACATTTTTATATTTTTCTTCTATTTCTCCTTAAATTTAATTTTAGAAGAGATTAAATTCTTTAAACATCAAACAATTCAATTACTGTTGATTCATATAAATTTATAGATATGTACCATCGTGAATAGCTTTCATGTAACTGGCAATGCATTCTTTTGATGAGCTTCTAGATGTTCTTTTAGAAAGTACATTTTTATCCGCATGTGATTTCAACTGCTCACTATTGTTATCAAAAATTCCATCGTCAAAATTTATCCAAATGGACGGTGCAGTTTGTCCATGAAGATCCTTTTTTCTCGCATTTTGCTTCTGAAATTTATTGCATGCACAATTTCGCTGCTTCCTTTTCCCTTCTCTGTCAGCGCATCTACGCAAATATTTGTACACTAAATCGTACACTGTCAATTTTTCAACATCCCGTTCCCAAAAATAGTTATCATCAATTCCTGAAGTGGCTGATCTATTCACACACAATATGAAAATTACAATAAATTACAATAAATCAACAAAGCTGATGTATTTAATCATTATATCACTTTATGTACTGTATAGCGAAATAAACAAAAAGCGAACAAATTTTGTTATTAACCCATTTTATGTAAAAAAAGATCAACATAGTGAATTAACCTATATCCATAATTGACGCGACGTCCGTGCACGTTTCTAGATTGATAAAGTTTCCGCTCTCCAGTCATGACAAAATGACAAATGTATTCCTTGTGAATTATTAATAATTATCTTACATGAGTGCAAAACAAAGACCAAAATTTAGGTTGATGGTGCAATGATGAAATAGCGTCTTTTTTACTGTTTCAATTTTCAATTACACACACAACAATAATCATGCTATTTACATTAATCATGTTTCTATTTTATCACGAGAGCGCAAGAAATGATAGTTACCGACACTAATTATTATGTTCAATAGGTACAAGAAAAATATAGTAATCGTTTTTATCATGCGTTGTTATCAAATGCATTTTACTTCGTAGTTGCAAGAAGTGTCTCGAAGCGTTGCAATCGCATTAGTTTACATCATGGTTGCTGTATGACTGGCCGCAACTGTCTGCAACTGTCAATGCCGATCAATTAGCGGCAAAATGTCCAGTAAAGTGAGTATTTCGAAAACTTTTAATTTAATACATTCACATAATCATCGTGTCGTATATCACACTTTCGATTGCAGAGAGATACATTTGCAAACTGCATTTCTTTCGTTTGTATTAATTAACTTAATCGCGACTCGACTCCCGTCAATCTCGAAATTATTGACATTTCTTGCGAAGCAACGTAAATGTCGGGAAAACGTCACTACAATAATGCAACAACAGGACATAGATTTCACATAATTTATTATCAACGCAATCCCACTGTGCACATCCTTCATTAATTAATCATTAGAACGCATGACTCATTTGCGTAATGCTTTATTCATAGGTATTGATATAAGAACTATATTAGCACTAATGTCTCCCACGTAATGATATGTTTTACGTTCTACTTTTTACACGTACGAGAATGATAGGAAAACACTGTATGAACTAACAATTTTCTTTTTGAAAACGCCAATCAAATAAATGTATTTTGTCTGTGCCATGAATTCACAATATATAAAATATTTTTATCAGATATGTAATATATTATTATCAGAGCACAACTGTTCTTATCGACAGCATTTTATTTTTTTTCAGGGTGCTACTAAGAAAACTGAACTTAAAGATGAAGTCAAGACACGTACGCGGTCTAAAACAAAGGCTCTATTGGGCAGCGAGGGCAAGGAAGAAACATCGAGAAAATCGGAGTCTAATCTTCCAAAGAAATCTCAAGGTGTTGAACACAGAGGAGACGGAGACAGATCAAAACAGAATTCCGTGACAAGCAGAACACACTCAACTAGAAGTACTAGTAAACAGTCGAGTGGTTCATCTCAGCTTAAGACCACAAAGCAAAGTCTCACATCCTCAACGTCGAAATCTAATCCGATTAAAGCCTTATCTAGTCAGTCGATAACAAAAAAGAGTACAAGTTCAAAAACGAGATCTGAGAATGTTGTTAAATCGAGCGACGACAGTACAGTCAAAAAGAGGAAGTCCAGAGAGCAAGCAGAATATTCAGAGAAAAGAGGTTCGAGTACAATATACATGCCAAAATCGACTACAAGCAAGCTTAATGTTAAATCCAACGAGAAGACTGCGCATCGAACATCAAGAGATAAGGAAAACTGCAAGATTCTTCCATACCTGATCGAACCAAACCACGAATGCCATCCAGAGAACGAAGAAAATCTAGAACTCTGAGTCCAAGTGAAATTAGAATGCTGCATAGCGCCATAAAAAGACCAAATATTGAGAAAATGGAGCAGAAGAAAAATGATACTCGTTCTAACGTGCAAATGGATTCAGATGAGGAAATTTACGATTATGAAGATGATTTTGAGGTAAGAAAGCATAAGAAAAATAGAGAATTAATTTCCAAAAATTTACAAAGAAAGATTCAACTTCTAACACTTTCACAGATTTGCACACTAACTTATTCACAAGAAACTAAAGGTATTTGCGAACAAATGTGAATCAAAATTATATCATTTCTTTCAGGATTATGAGTCGGACTTTCAAGAATGCACCGACAGTGAATTTTCCGTGATCAGCGAAAAGTCAGACAGCAGCGGTAGCAATTCCCATCTGGAACCCATCGAGTTACGCAGCCGAGAGAAAGTATTGTCGACTTTAATACCAATCTCTATATATAGATGTGAAGATGCATGATTTAAAAAAATATTTTTTACAGAGAAGCGTAGTGAATATCGACCAAGCAAAGGTCGAAGAGGAACGCATGCTTGATTCAGGACACTACGATCTCGCAGAAGCGAGGAAACGAGCGGCGCGAGTAGAATCTATGTTTGCAAATCAGCCCAACACTCCGCCGTTACCCGAATTGAGAGCGCCAGTTGGCAAAGCATTTAGGTTTGTAATAACCAAGATCAAATATCAGAACGAATAAATGAATATTTGTTTACAGACTTTTTAGTTGCATTTATCTTATTGTTATCTATAGTTGTGTTCTTATCTTGCACGCTTTTCTAAGATGTTTTGTGTTATAAAAAAACTTACAAAAAATTTGCGTGTAATTTAATGCATTTAATGTGCTTATCGGAGCAGCGATGACAGACTGGTGGAAAATAAATCTTTGCCGTCGTCGACCGATGAGGGTTTCGAGGATAGTCGCTCCGGCGACTTTACCAAGTCACCGCCATTGTCGCAAATACCGTTTATCGATTTTCGTAAACCAAAAGAAAATCGACTTGAAGAGGTAATCCACCAAGAGAATGTATATATTAATCATAATATTAAATATAATTATGTATTATTATATATTATTTGTTTTTTTTTTGCAGAACTCACGGAAGTCTCGAAGTAGAGGCGAGGAATTATTGGAAATGATAAAGCTGGATTTTATGGAATGGTCAATTCTGGAGTGCAGTCCCGTACCCTATGATGAATTCATAAGAAATTACGGAAAATTAAATACTCAACAAGTATGTAACACATTGATTGAATTGTAGTGCGATAGATCGCTTATTGCTCATATTCTACAGGTCTTTACTCAAACCGGCGACGATAATATGGATGTCGAGATACAAACGGACGAGGTACTCCGCAAGAATAAGTGGACGCAATTTCCCGTAACTTGCAGAAAGGAATTACATGATAAACGGGATATAAACTTATTTAAAATGGTAATATAATTTCTATTCCGATATTTAAAATTTGATAAAACACAAAGAAGTATATTAAATATTACAAAACTTCACAGGAACAAATTGGCGTCGGAGGTGATTTCGACGAGGTGGACGAAATAAGTGTTCTGTTACGACCGTCGTACGATGTATTGCGGTTGAATGATTTTCTTAATCGCGCGGGCATGGTCATGCTATCGTTACTAGAAGAGAAGGAGCATGGCGGTACCGTCTTTCAGAACGATGTGGATGAATTACCGTTCAGCGATGGATTCGTGAAGCTCTCTGTAGACACAGTGACATTTCTAGCTACTAGGCCGGTGAAGATCATACATTATTCGAATGTTTTAAACAAAGTTCTGCTCACCATACATGCTGCCGTGGAAGAGGTAAGAAACTTATTTTGTGCGGATTAAAAAAAGAACGTGATTAATTACTTTTTCATGCCAAACAGGAGATAGAAACCGTGAGCAAGCAAGATTACGTCACCGATTGTTGCATCGGATGCGTTTGGAATATTTCTGAGCCTTCGATGCCGAAGAAACTCTTTTATTCTCAGTGTCCCATTACTGCTTGCTGCTTTCATTTAACCAACTGCAACATAGTGTTCGCCGGACTCGAGGACGGGTATGCAGCTCGAATCCTTTTCAAAGTTTCTACACTCTGAAAAAAGATAATCTATCTTTTTAATTCTTGAAAATAAAAATTGATTTAAAAACAGATCGCTGAGTCTCTGGGATCTCAAGGAGGATGAGATGTGGCATCAGAAGGTTACGGATAAGGCTAACGAATTGGATTGGGTGATAAGAACGCCTACTTACACGACAACGGCGAATATAGAGCAGGATGCACACACATCGCAGGTTGTCGCGATACGCGTGCTGTCCAAGATCGAGACCACTTCTGCTAAAGCAAGGAACAATAAGTTTGTTCCCATCCAGGTTATCCAATTAAACAATTATTGCAATTATTAATATTTATCTGTTAAAATGTAGCCGTACTGATCCCTGCTTGTCCTTAACGAATTTAACAGATATGTAGCTTAGATGAGGATGGTTGGCTTATAGTTTGGAGCATTGTTCATAGCATGGGTGTGATTATCGATGACTTGGGATTGTCTCACTGGGGTGACATAAGACTCATAAAGAATCAGAAAATGTTTCTGATGAGAAAAAACACGGAAATGTAAATATAATACTCGTAAAGCTGTCTGGTTGTGGTAACCAAACCTCCTAATCGTTTTCCACTTTCTTCTAGAATGAATACGTTTGTCGATATGCATGTGGACAGTGCGAATACAAATAACATTTATATCGCGACTAACAGTATTGATGTTTTGCATGCTACTTGCATCAATAATAGAACTAATCCATTAATGTACAAACCGGCCGAGATAAGTGAGTGGTGGTTTTATTATCGCATTGGTGTCCCATCAAATGTGATCGCGATAACAACAGACTTATCAATCATGTTAAATATTACAGGTGAATGCGGTGGTTCAACTTGCATTGACGTTTGTCCTTTTAACCAATCCTTCTTCTGGGTAAGATTTTCCTAGAGTTTAACTCGAAATAATTATATAATATCATTCTTATCAATTTGATTTTTATCAATTAGGTCGGCTGTGAAGATGGAACGATACGACTGCATTACTTGAACGTGGAGAGACCGATTGTACAACTGAAAAATGAACAGTATAAGGATAAAATTAAAGCTCTCCAATGGTCGAAAACAAAACCGCTGACTATATATGCTCTGGACAATAATTCTCGGTAAGATTTTTTCACAAAATGAACAGCGTTACCTAGATAAGGTAATAAAAAACTTGTAAATCCAACAGAATTCACATATGGGATTTGAGTAAAAGTGACATCTGTCCCGTATATACATGTCATGTATCTCCGCAAAAATGGGGAAAGATAAGCAGCATGCAGCTGTCGCCTTGCATAATGGAACAAGATATGACGAATCAGTACCTGGTGAGTTTAAAGAACTAAGCAAATTATATATTCGAAAAGAATTTTTCTATGCTCTCTGAATTTTAAAATGTGTTATTTAGGCTCTTGGCTCGGAGTCTGGCAATGTGGAAGTACACAAACTGGAAAAAGGTTTCTATTCCTCAAAGAAAGAAGAATTTTCACAAGAACTGAACATATTCCTGCGATACGTTTCGGTTTCATAGATTAGTCAAAGAGAATTATAGGCACTTAATAGTCTCGCATAGAGTTCCAATTATTACTAATTCTTTCAACGATTTGGAGGAATTCACGGATTTTATACTTCCAATATACACGTGATGCACCTGCAATATACATTATTTAGATATCAGATAAGACAAGTTGAAAAACTAATTCGTATTTTTAATTGGCAATTTTAATTGACGAGGGACAATCCCGCATATCTCGGAACTCTAATTCGTAAGATTTGTAATACAACAACACAATCGTGTCTTTGATCATTTCAAATAATATTGAATTTTTCGAATGTGCAATCGAGCACATTTAAATTGTTATAATTTTGAATACTTTACAAAAGCGAGTTATATGTATAAGGAAATGAGATTTTTGCACACTTCATATCTTTTTAAAACGTAAGTTCCGTTTAGGAAATATTGAACGCCGTCCAGTGTAGATAAATAGTGTTTATGACACATTTATATGTACATTTATATCATGTATTGTACAAAACATATAAATAAGAGAAGATGAAATAATAAGACTATACAGTTGAAATATATGTAAGATTTTATACATAGCCTAGCCGGTTTGATCTCGCGTTTTTCACTACAAATAGTCCGTTATTGATAATACAAAGATAATTATTCTACTTTTAAAAATACTTTGGTAAATACAATTTTTTACAAAATGCTTTAATTTTGACAGACTTTATTTTACTAAGAAATCAACAGTTGATGTTTTTCAATTATTTCTAATATTTGGTAATTAGTAACTATTTATTAGTATAAAAATAATTATCATTCAGTTTTAACAGCAATTATCATGAATGTGAACGATATTTATAAAGAATCTATCAAAAGTCATATCTTACTGTTATCAAATGATGTTAAAAAAAAAAAGATACAAGCGAAAAAATTAACATAATTGCAAACTACCTATTATTTACAGCTAATGAAATATTACCAATTATTATATATATTAGGTGTTAAACTTAGTTTCCGCCGTTTTTCGTCTTACAAAATTAATTTATTAGAAAGAGTAAAATAAATAGATTGATCAAAATATTTTCCCTCATTTTCTATGACTTTTGCCTATCTTTCTGAAAGGAGACATTTTCCTTTCTTCTTCTCTTCTGGATTTTTCCGAGGGCATGTAAACGTTTGTAAACAGCCATTGAAGTAACACCTAACGCTTTCGACAATTCTGAAAGTATTTGAGATGGATTTTTATCCAGTAAAGCTTGAGGTTCGGCATTCTCAAACTTTTTCGGCTGTCCTGAACCAAGATCTATAGAGAGAAGGTTACCTCAGGAAAACCGGTTGTGGGCGAGGGACGATGAAGTAAGGGGGGAGCTAGAAATAGCTTGATGGCGAGGGGCAATGAAGGAAGGGGAGAGCATAATGATCTCATCGACAAACAGTAGCTGTCTGAGATAGCTTCTGTTTGCCGATGAGATCATCATTGCCCCTCTTGCCGCTCGTCCCTCTCTGCATTTGCCCCTCTTGCCGCTCGTCCCTCTTTGCGCATGAGGTAACCTTCTCTCTATAGATCTTGGTCCTGAACGTGGTTTGTCTTCCATACTAAAATCACCACTTCGAAAACGTTGAAATCTCTCTCTACACGTTGTTTCTGATGGAGCTTCTTCACTATAAGTCTCGGACAGTAAGCGATGCGTTTCAGCTGCAGTTTTCTTCATGTCGAAATAGTGGAAAGCACATGTCGAAAAAATACTCTATTACGATCCATTTTTCATCGATTAAAAAATCTCTGTTTAAACAATACTCAATCTTTGCATACTAAATTGTATTGACCAATGTTTATCCTTCATAAGACAAGCAACTTCAAATATCGAAACTTATTTCGTCTGCAGCTGGCACGATCTACTTGTAAGCGACGGAGACTAAGTTTAATACCTAATACATATAATCTCGTCGATTTTACTACAAATAATGGACTATCCTATATACATGGCATTACCTTTCATCATTAGCAATCCAATGATCGATATAGAAAAACGACAACTATACACAGGACTAGTGGGAAATGTGTGAGCCATGCATGCGCCGCATTGCAAGCACTTTGGTTTATGATATCTTCCACGACTTCATCATAATTGCGCCCTTGTACTGTCTGATGACCGTGTAACTCTATGTATCGTGTTCCATCCTGTGACAACAAAATTTTATTACGGTATTTCAATTTATTTATACATTGCAAATCATTTGCGAGTGACAAAATTTGAATAAACGAAGTTTTGATCAAGATCCGTATCGAGACGTAAATCAAGAGAAAAAGATCTCAACTAGGCCAACTTCTTTGGCCAAAATACTCTGCGCCCCTCTTATTTGTTCTTAAATTTCCAAAACAATTTAATATGTTTATGTATCTCTCTTTTTCTCATCTCTTTCTCTGCAGAGATTAAAAGCAATTTTATCATTTGTTTCCACGATAACGTCTCCGCTATTATTTTCCCTTTCAGGATTCGAAGATCAAAAATATATTCTCTATCTCTAAAGCTATTTGTCCTTTAACTTACGGGAAATATAACACCGAGATTGCCTTCGTAAGGTGCGTATAACGAAAATGCAGGTGTCTCTCCGTTGAAATGTTTTCCAAACAGCTTGTCCATTTCGACTAGCATCGAATAGATATCCCGATGTCTTACCTCCGTCACATTCTTTTGCATTACTATCTGTAAATACGAAAAAAAAATGTTACCATAAACTGAAATCATCCAGATTTATATTTACACTACTGCGCATCTAATAAATTGGTTATCCAATTCTGAGTTTTTTTATTTCACACAGAAAGATTTTATGTTGAGATAGTATTATCTCACGTTAAGAATCAAACGCTTTACGTCAAACGCGTATAAGTCTTTTGAGTTGCGCTAAAGATTATACCGAGCCAAGAGCCGTCCAAGCGAGCACATATGGAGTTCCTTTTATAGCTTCCGCCAGAGTCTGACTCAATACTCTATATTTCGGTTTAGAGTTCAAGTTCTTAAGGTCAACTTTCTGATGAAGAAAATCACCTACGACAACAAAAGTCACGCACGTTAGACAGAAATATAATACCAAAAATAAATTTAAATAATTAGCATCGCTTACCAGGTTTTGTAATATTTTCTACGACATTCAGATCGACGAAGGCGACATCGACGATACCGGAAGTTAAGTAGTGGAAGGCAGTTGCATCATCGCTCGCTTCTCCATCTGCGAAGAGATCAATCTTGATTACTCACGTTTACAAGATTCACATATTTTACACATGTATATAATTACGCTGAATTATTAGCTTTAAAATGTCAGTTTTATTATGCACGATTTATATCGCTTTAATATATTCTTAGTGAACTGTGCAAATTTAGATAGCTTATCGTGTGTCTGTATGTATTGTGTATGCTCGTATCTTTATGATCGATGCTCATTTATCGGTACCACGCGCTTAATCATAATTGTACGCGTTTTTGCGCCTCACCTTTTACGCACAAGGAGTGTAAATTGCTCGGAAGCACATTTTTATCTTTGTTTTCCAGACCAAGGACGCAGCTGTTTGCGAAAAAGTTCGAGATGGCTTGCGTATCAGAACAGTCCCAATTTTCTTGCGATTCGTTCCTCATCACTGACGTGAAAGCATTCCAACCTAACAAGAGAGAAATTATGGACAAATTACAGGCAATTCGGAGTGACTGACGATAAATATGAAATTTTATTTTATAAAATCATACCGACGCTCCTGTAGCCTGTGAAGACCGCTTTAAAGCCTTTGAGATCACGCAGCGTTTTGAATGAGGAACTCAATCTGACAATCGCTGTGACTCTGCTCAATCCCTGTCTCGTGTTCGTCATCATATGAGCGATAGGCTCTAGATTTTTTCTACGAAAAAAAAAGCGATATAAAAGCATTTTTCTTTTTTTATTTACCACATTCCTTGTTCTGCTCTTTACTCACTTTCTAGCTTCAAGAAGCTCTTCAGGCAGTATTACGGATATGTGCGTTTGTCCGCTCTGCACAGATTCCAAACACGATTTGTTACCAGTATCTGCATATTGGTAGCATAAGATGTTCGGCTGGATGCCGTAAGCAGAAGCAGCCATTTTCATCCATTCGCACTTACGCATCTCGAGAAGAGATTTCACGCACCATTTCACGTCTCTCGAGCATTCCGTTCGTATGTTAGCGCTTAGAAAATTTGGAACTTTAACCGATAAATAAAATCAGAAATAAGGCTTTTTACATGTTCGTAAATCTTCTTAGATATTACACAATCATTATTAATTTAATGAATTTCTTTGATCCCGCAATGCAAAAGAATGACATTTGCGCGTCAAGAATGAATTAAAATTACACTGGAAATAAATGTTGAAAACATTGTATATACGTTACATTGTTGTAAATGATCGAAGGGTGGTTGCAGCTCTTCCACATTGACCGAAGTGACATAATAATCTTCCAACAACTCCAACAGATTCGTCCCCCACGCTGTCATGTTATTTAAGTTCATTATGCGGGCAACTGTCTTGGCTGCAAAGCTGGTGAGAAAGAATATAATTGATAATTTTTTCATTCTGCGTTTCTCCAATTCTCTGTCATAAAATACCAGAATAACTTCGCGTAGGAGCGGCGTAAATACTTACGCTCGAGCTACGATTGCTGGCCACGGTTTTGAAATCCAGACGCACGGTTCATCAAAATTAAGCGGTTTCGTAGTACCGTCTGAACACAGAAATCTGTAATCTTGCGTGTCAACATTCTCGACCTATATATAAGTCACAGCAGAAATGTTAAATAAGATGATAATAATAATACATAATTATATTACAAATCTCTCTTTCTCTACAAATCGTCATAGATTTCTCTGAGATCAAAGGGCAAAATTGTTTCTGATTTGTTACAATACGTCGTTTCTCGCTTCAAGAATATCGCGATCGAATTGACAATCGTGTTAACTTGTTGATTACCTTGAAATGTATGCGAGCGTCATCCAGTCTGACCCAGCCAACGTCGCCTACGCCATCGACGAGACAGAGTACAGCACCCTGTCGCCCGTAATACTTGTCGGTGTTGTAACAGCTGGCTGGGTTTTCGCACGCAGCACAGAGATTCCTGTATTTTGTTTCTGCAAGTGACAACAAGGATTTCTTCACTTGCACCTGGCATCAAACGTGTGGTTCGTATCGTTCAAATTTATCTACACAATATATGGTTGAAACGAAAACGTTTGGAAACAAATTGATCACATAGCACACATACATACACAATCGTGTATTTTTCTTTAATTAAATTAACGATAAGCAAGTAATAATATCAAATAAGTTTCAATTATTAGTCAACATTATTAATTTACTACATTAAGAATCTAAAGATAGCAAAGACATATTTAAAGAAAATCTGCAGAATTAAAATAGTATTTACGTTTTGCTCCATCTCATTGTATAATACTTTTCATGAAAAGTCACGCACGTCTTGCGCTAATAAACTTGTTATCTTGCAACGATAAATCTTAATCAGCATAAATCATATAATTATCCTTATCAATAAATCGTACTCATAAATAAATCTCAGTACACATATACGTAATGAATTCGTATTTTTGAAATTACGTACTCAAATAATAATCAATCGTAGTATCCGATGACCATGGACCTGCAATGCAGGCCATTTCAAAGAGGTTGGATAAAACTTGTATCCTGTTCTCCAGCAGCGACATATTTGGCTCACATTGTTTGCGAGCTATTAAATTTTCAAAATACTGTAAAATAAAAGATCAGATTTGATACATCGGCTAATTGCAACTATACAAATATATTGGTGGATTAAAAAAACACACTAACCGTTGAAAAAGATTTTGTCCAATCTCCGACAGTCTCGAAACCGGGATGACACAACCGCTTGCCTTTAACGTCATATGCATGGTGCAAATTTTTATGCCCTATTGCAACCACTTCAAAACGCATCGCTTCTGAAAGAAAATAACCGTAAATTTTAATAGTATATTCTAATAATATTTTAATCATACATTTTTCGACGCCAAATTTGTATCAATTTTCCTTTATCAAAAATGCGAAAAGCATAGATAGTAATTAATTTTCAACTGAATAAATAAATAATAGAATCATATTTTTAAATTAATTTTTAGTCAACTTTGACAGAATTTTAATTTTGCTGTTAGTATCTTCTGTCTTATAAAAAATAATATAAAAATTTAAAAAGTTTCAACATTTTTGATAAGGAAGAAATAGGATACTTCTGTATTTTGTTCGCATCTTTATCTTAATTACCATTTTGAAAGAGTCTTAATTCATTCGTGATTAGGAAATTGTAGATGTCATAGTTCCTTATCGCTACAAGTTCTTCTGGTTCTAATATAGTGAAATCAGCGTCGTCATTCATTAATCGACGTATACAGCCAAACCTAAATTAAAATTACTTTCATATAAGAAGTCCAATGAAAAATTGATCTTTCTAAGAAAGTCATATCTCAATAACATGTTTCAAAAACTTCGAACTGTAATAGTGTTCTGATCAGATTATTGGTTTGGAAACAATTGGTTATCGCTCTTGAAAAATAAAAACAGGAGATGTGGCTTTCTTGAAGAAAGACTTTCAATTTTATTTTAACTGAAAAAACTTTTTATTCGGATATTTCATTGTAAAAATTAATTAAAGAAAATTTTTTTCAACTATGTGCAGTACTTGCCTGTCAGTTTCGATAACACATTCTACTGCACTTGTCAGCATCTTTGGACAGAGTAAAAGAATTTTTTCGAAGAACGTGCGGTTTCGACTAAGCAGACCTTCACTGAAATATTATAATATTTTTAAAATACATTTCTACTATTTCTCAAAATGGACAAAAAAAACATTTTCTTTTGTCCATTGACAAATTTTCTTTTGTCGTTCTGAAAATGATTCTGATTATTATTTCAAAGCATATCTATTGTGCTTGAAAAAAGTATTACAATATTATTTTTGGCCTTGTCTTCAATTTTACATTTAAAAAGCAAATTCAATCCGTCAACATTTGTGAAAAAAAGATAGTTGAAAAATTAATCATGAAATTGACATAAATTAGCACAATTTTATTGTTAATTACCATTAATTTTAATGATCATTTTTATAAATAAAAAAAAGCTGTCTGCAGATTCCACAAGTTTCTAGTGAAAAATGTTTTAATCGGCAATTACTTATTGTTAGTGAAAAAAAAAGAATGCGGAAGGCGTATTGACCGTAACCTTCCAACTACCTTTTATGACGGAATGATAACTCGCGTGTCGCAATTAGCACTTTTATAGTTGAACAGTTTATTCGAACAATCCAGTAATTTTCCTGCCATGATACAAACTTCATTATATAGAAAATTTTATTTCCGTAAAATAATTATTTAATAATAATATTTAATATTTTTATTATTAATTATATTATTATTAATTTTCTGTTCGCAGATTACTTTCTTTATGGTGTTTTGAAAAATTATGTACTTCGCTCTATACACAAACGTCAACAAAAATATTTAAAAAAAAAAACATTATCATAAAGTAGTAGATAATCCGATGATATCACTGCGATTTTTGTTTTACTTACATTTATCATCAATAGTGACATATTTGTAACCTAATTCATCTGCAAAAACGATCCAACAAGACGTATAAAGTATGAAGATGAACCAACAAGACATATTTCGAAGATCCATGATTAACCCCGACTCTGCATCCCTTCTGTAAACAAAACTTGTTTTTTTTTACATAATTCTCCAAAGAGATTTCCTAATTAACGAGTCTATACTGGCATGAATCATTTATACTGAATCATTTAACGCGGTCATTGTCATCTCACAAAGACTAACTATAATAATCACATTATACTACGATATGCTTATCATCGAGTTATATTTTCTCGTATCAACACATACGACCAAAACTGTATTTGAAAATGTTACATGTTATAACAAATTATGATCTGTTTGCTTTACTTTTTAAATGTGTTTAAAATTTATTTTGTTTCATAACTGAAAGTTTTTAGTATGTTATATTGATACAAAATTTACTTAAAACAATATATTTTCTATATACATACATTGAGTATTCTATATACGAAGTACATTCGTAAGAAAAGACAGTTTCAATGTTTGAAGTTGAAAATTATTTGTGAAATACAGTACTCATAAATATGCTTTCTGAAAGATTATTAACAAACTAACTGTCATGAGAGATAAAATTAAATTATTTTAATTTTTTTATAATCTTTTCTATAAATATATTGTCATAATAAAACATTAAAAACTTTCTTGATTATAAAATAAAGCGTTATTTAGATATATTTTAAAGTAAAACAAACAGATCATAATGTATTGTATAAAATATATTGTACCAAAGTTGAATTATTCAAAGAAATATGAATTTTTTCATTGAGAATTATTACAAGACAAGTGCCGAAGAGAACTCGGGCATAAGAACATGCATCTTGCCGAAATATAGTCAGGGAATCGCATACTTTCACTCTTTGGCCTTGAGACTTTTTGCTGATACAAGGAATGCTTTTTTTGTAGAATTAGCTAGACTGTCTGTTTACATCACTGAAGATCTATGCAGTTGATCACAATTCAAAACCAAGATCATCAAGACCAAGTATTCGCTTTGTTAGTTTCATTCCAAAATATAAATTGTTGTCTAACTAAATATTCATATAAACATTCAAATATATATTTCGCGAAAACTCTTCAAAATTCTTCTGAAATTCTTATTAAAATTTTCTCAAATTTTGCGGATACTGGGTTATGATCCTTCGTTATTCCGATTTTTCGTTACGTACCTTCACACCAAGATTCTTGTCATAAATGCAGTAGGAAGTAACAATTTTTCGTTCGTCTTGTCTAACTCACGCTTTGAAAAGACGTTCATAAATGCACTTACTTAAGAATACACTCGTAAGTTGCTGAATTTCAAGAATTCACAAGGAGAATATTATCTAATGTGATCCAACATGTGTGTAAAGACGCTTGCACTGAACGTAGAGTCTGCGAGTCGCGGTATGCATGAGAGCACGAGTAACGACGGCCGGCCGATGTTTCCGACTGTCTGGCGACTTGGATCACACACAACAGCTGACGATGCCCCGCGCTAATCCGACCGAAAGTCCAGTGTGTATGTACAAGGAGCTGGAATCATTAAATCTGGTGGGAGAGATCAAGAGAACAACGCGAGACTCCGGCGTAATACACGCGCGCGTGTGCAAACGCGTGTTATATGAAAGTGACACAGCTCATGAGAGACCAAGATAGAATCAAGTTCGTTTGTTTAGCGGGAAACGTTTTGAAAATTGTACAGCTTAAATCGGCAAATTATCTTAAATTTGCATTTCTAACGAATTATAAGTGTCTATTTTTATTTATAAAAGCGTTAATCTTTTTTTAAATTACACGAAATTATCATTACCTTGCCATAGTTCTCTAACGTTTAATGACAAATATGAATTTAGGAAGTATCCTTTCCAATCAGCTTCTCTTGAATATATGTATATTTTGTATGTATATATGTATTCTTTTATTGCATTGTCTAATGTAGAAACACAGCGAGGAATTTAATCTGTTGACTCCAGATAATAAGTGTATCCAGATGATTATCTTCTAACGCTTACCACATTGATGCATACTTGAATTATAAAGAAGGTCATGTTACAAAAAAAGAAAAGATTCTCAGTTACGAAGAAGAAAACTCTAGTGAATGATCATTATTTGATTTTGTTTAAAATTATAAATAAAATACATGGATATTTTCTTTCATTACATTTTTATATACTACTTTTTTAAATATTACTTTTATTTTTTACTATTTCTAAAATAGATAATTATTTTGACTCACCTAAGAATTCGTATTTCGTATCTTTCCACTTTAATTGCTTTATTTATAGCTGCTAGAAAAGTTATACTTTAAAAGTTATACTTTTCTAGCTTTTTTATCTTATTAATGTTTTCCAAATAATTTTTTAGTATAGGATGGATACTGTAATTTGTTTCAGTTTGCAATCTAAACAAAACTGTAGTTAATATACGTACATGACTCATACTGTTCATTAGTAATATGGCAATTAGATTTTATTCTCATCAGATATCATTCTTGCTTCTTTTATTACTTTTATGTAGCAATTATTATTGACTTGTTATGAATATTGTTAAATCAATGGGCGTCGCTGCATGCGCCTGCAACAAATTGATTAGCAATATAAATAGATGGGAAATGTAACAAGTATATAGATGAGTCACAATTATCTGTGCAACAAGATAAGATTTCATCGTCATTGACATTAGCATTAACAATGTGTGCATGCATAGGCTTTATTTGTATAAAGTGATATATTGCACAGCGATCTTAAGATAGTTAAGATTTATGAATATGATGCTTTTCACAATATATTATACATTGTTAAAGCTGAAACACAACATAGGAAATGTTGCTACTCAAAAGTCATTCGACCTTCTACACGTACAATCCAAGATTGTTAAAATGATTCTTGTGCTAATCGCATGAAAATGACGTAAATATTCTAAATAAATCGGAATTTCCTGTCGACGTGATCAAAATGCATAAGGAAAAAACCGACGTTTTCTATTTCGCATCAGTGCAAAATAATGAAGTACATGTTCGGCTACGGAAATATTTACTTGCAATGCAATGCCATATTTTATTTTCCTTTTATTTTCCCCCTCGTTTAGAAAATTTCCTTTCCTTCAAATGTGTTATTGATAACTAAACAAGCAGTGAGATCGATAACAACAAAACAGATTGCCAGTGTCATCGTACAATAAATAATGTAATACTATACATATATTGCACGTCTCTCAAATGATATCCTATTAGATAAATTTGTAAAAACATCTTGTATTGTTATCGCATCTTTATCAATTTTTATCGAAGGAAACGATGCTTAATGATGCTAGTGTCACTACGAATATAGAGTGTACCAACACTACAAATAAGTTATTAATCATACCGTTATCAAATTCTACGATAAATTCATCTAATAATTAAAATACGAGATGCAATTAAAGTTTGCTCAGCACAAATTTATCGAAATTTATCAAGATAATAAGAGATATTTTATGTAACGGTATATTGTGCCTGATAACTGCTCGGAATTGACTTTGAAAATCGTCCCACTTCACGATTCGTCACCGCCACAGTTACGCAGTTGCGTTCCTCTCGCCGAGCGTGTCGATGCATTGGTGTAATTTCGGTAATAATTTGATATCTAAGCATGATGTGTTAATTCTGAAAGTGTCTGTTCGGTGAACAATTACACTTTTATGACGCCTGTACATAAGACATGCTTATTAACTCGTACTTTTTATTCTGTATTTCTCCTTGTTTCACCAAAGCATAAATACATCTGCATTTTATTTTAGGTGCAAAGAGTGCAAATAGAACAGATAGATCTACTACACACATGTTGCCTGCATGTTGTTCAATTGCTCTGACAGTGTATCTGCATCACTGGCAGTATGCGGTTTTGCCGAAAGATTAAGAGTCAAGAGATTGTCGGAGAGCAAACTGCATGTAGCCAGCTAAAATATGGTAAGTTTATCGAACAACGGGCATCAGCTCGAAAATAATTTAGATTTGTGAGCGATCATAAGCACGGCGAGCAAGCGATTAATTTATAGAAAACTTTACTAAAAAAACTTTGGACTGCATATATAAATGCACGGCCGCATTTACCATAAGGTGCATTAGGCGCAAGCTGGGGCCTCATTTTGAAATCTTACTCCTCACTAATGACAATATAAAAAACAGCCTAGTTATAGTTGCAAAATAAAATGCTTACTTTTAAATATTAAATTCATAATATAAAAACTAGAGGTCGTGAAAAACTTGTAAGCGGTAATTGTTTATTAAATTTCGCATTTTTGCATCATGTGATGCATGTCGACTTTTATTTTCAATAAACACTTAAAAAAAATGCGTATGAATTTGATTAACTGAAATAGACTTGGTTTTTTGAGGCCTCAATGATGTTGCGTCTAGAGCCTCCAAAAGTATAAATGCGGCCCTGTATAAATTTGCATCGTTTGTCATAGACCGCGCAGTTGTGGCAGTATATACTAAGGCACTATAAACGTGAATATGCAGTTGATCGCGACATCGTGCGGTCTTATTTTGGAATCGTTTGAAATTCGTGCGTATGATACTTTGAAGCTTGACCGGAGGATTAATTCAAACTCGAATAAGCATGTAATGTATAAAAATAATTTTTAGGAGAATATTAGGTCTTGTTTTTTTTTTTTTTTCTTTAGTTTCCTTCCAATGTGGAGGGAAAAAGATAAACTCTGAACTAGTGCTGCCAGTTCAGCTAAAAAGAACAGACCTATTGAAAGTTTAGAATGCATTTAGTATCATTTAAACATTTGCAAAAAATTTGAGTGCCATTTTCAAAGAACTTCTCACATATGATATTTAATAGTTTGCAGTATGGTGCCAATCTAGCACATTTTTAGGAGGAAGTGCAAAATAGTGGATCTAAAAGTGTTTAGTGTAATCTGTTGAAATATAAATCATGAAAGTCAATTACATACAATTGCCTGTAAAGGCGCATTATTTCTTTTTTATGGCAGGTGAGTACTTCATTAAATACGTAACAACATTTATTTAATTTCAAAATCTTTGTACATGTCTTTTTACATCTTCTTTTACATATATTATAAACATTTCTATATTATAAAATTATAAATATAGACATGTTTTATATTTTAAAAGATTCTTTATACTATAAACTTTTATATACGTAAATATATATTATATTTTAATTAAAAAAGATATAAAAATCTGAAAAATTAAAAAATATATATAAATCATGAATAATTTAATAAATTATATTATTAAGTACATAGATGTAATTACAATTATTCGATTTATTTTTTAGCTATGGGTCCTATTTTACCATTTCTACCAGTCTATGGGAAGCAACTAGGTGTTTCACCATTAATTATGGGCAGCATCACCGGAATTTTGCCTATTCTATTTCTGATCGCTAAACCAACCTTTGGCTTCCTCGTGGATTATTTCCGTACTTGGAGAAAATTAATCTTTATAGCATTGCTTGCTGTAACAAGTGGCTGTTACATTTTTATGTACTTTTTACCGGTATTGCCGGGTCCGATGCTACCTGATCATCATTTTCAAAATATTTCTTGCACTTCCTTATCAGTTTGCGATATGGAATATGTAAGTTTTCGTTTCTACTTATGTATTTATTTTTATACGTTAAAAATATATTTTATATGTAATTTAAAATTCGATTTTTAAATATTTTTTCAAACATATTTTTAACTATATTAAAAAAAAACTTTTTTTGTTTAAGCATACCTCAGCAATGGCATCATGTAACGGATCAAAAGATACTACATGTTATTGGATATGCAACAATGCAAATTTTTCTACACAAGTATCTTTTTATTCAACTAAAGGAGAGGCAGTCATTTCACCAGATACTATATGCTTATTAAATATTAATGAAACGTTGTTGTGTCCAGAAAACACAACAAATAGTTGCGATGTTACCTGTGATAACTTTGAAGATAATTATTGTTTATATACATCTCTTACTTTTTGGGGGTTTGTTCTTTTGATGTCTCTTGGCAATATTGGATTTAACGTTTCCAACTGCATTAGTGACGCAATTTGCTTCGACGTATTAGGTAAATGATATTATAGAGACATATTTTAAAGTTTTATCAGAAGATAAAATTTATTGAATTTTTACAATAAATAATTTTACAGAGAACTGTTTTATGTGTGTTCAATAAATTTGTTCATCTTTTCAGGTGAAGGTGGACAAATGGGATACGGTAGGCAGCGAGTATGGGGTACAATCGGTTTTGGCATCGCAGCATTATTAGCTGGTTATACAGTTGACTTGTGGTCGCAAGGAGAAATCTATAAAACTTACACTCCAGCGTTCCTTCTTGTGCTCGGATTTACTAGTATTGATTTGCTGTGTTGTAGAAAACTTGAAGTAATTATATTACGCATTAAATAGAAAAATAATGAACAAAATAGCTTATAATTTTATTCTTATATTTTCATTGCAGTTGCCACTCATGTCAGGATCGACAAGCATATTGAAAGATGTCTGTGCACTTTTGAAATTGAAGCCTATCGTTATATTTTTATGTTTTGCTACCCTTGCCGGCATCCTTGATAGCTTTATGATTTACTTTTTATTTTGGTAAATTTCTTTATTAATTTTTCCACTGATATCTTTGTATTTTTATTTATCATTAAGTAGTTAATATAAAATTGATTATATTCAATATAGTTTATTCTACCAGGTACCTAGAAGATCTTGCTATGACAACCGGCCATATGGGCGAAATTAAATTAATAGAGGGTTTAACAGTAGCTGCGGAGACTCTCGGTGGCGAGATAATATTTTTCTCTTTGTCTGGTAATGTTAAATGGTTCTCAGCTTGCTACATAAAATTTGATTGCATATCTAGAAATACTGTGTTCTGATGAAATATTAAATTTTTTGTTTTTTAGGCAAAATATTAAAGAAATTTGGATATGGTTATACTTTTACATTCTGCTTTGTATGCTACGCGTTGCGGCTAGCATTAATATCTTTGGCGCCAACGCCATGGTGGGTGCTTCCAGTAGAATTTTTCATGCAGGGGCCAACGTATGCACTTTGCTACACGACAATAGTAGCATATGCAAGTGCAGTATCACCACCTGGGACATCAGCTACTGTTCAAGGAATTGTGGCGGGAATGGATGATGGTTTCGGTAAGCTTCCTTATTTATTTGCATATAAAACATCATTTTGAGACAAAAGTGGTTTGCAGAAATAATATTAGGTGTTAAATTTAGTTTCCGCCGTTTTTCGTCTTACAAAATTCATTTATTATTAGGTCAATAACTTGAAACCCGCTTTTTTTTTTGCAAAAATTAAGTCTTTATTTAAAAAACAAATGAAAAAAAAATTAATCAAAGTATTGGCCATCGTTAGATATGACTTTTTCCCATCTTTCTGGCAATAAGCGGATTCCACGGCGAAAGAACGACTCATCTTTAGAGGCTATTCAGTCAGAGACCCATTTTTCGACGCTTTCATAAGAGTTGAAGTGTTCCTCAGCAAGTGCGTGTGCCATCGACCGAAACAAGTGGTAGTCGGAAGGGGCACAGTCTGGTGAATAAGCCGCACGGGGTAGCACTTCCCAGCGAAGTGCTTCCAATGTTTCCTTGACAGTCTTAATGACGTGAGGTCGAGCGTTGTCATGAAGCAAAATCATTTTATGCTGTCTTGTCTCATATTCTGGTCGTTTTTCGCGCAATGCTCGGCTCAAACGGATTATTTGTTGTTGGTAGAGATCCCCTGTGACTGTTTGACCAGATTTCAGTATCTCATAATATACCACACCCTTTTGGTTTCACCAAATACAGAGCATGGCCTTCTTCCCATGAATATTGCGTTTTTGCGCCAATGTCGATGGTTGGCCTGGGTCGCAAATGGTTTTTCGGCGTTTGAGATTATCGAAATAGATCCACTTTTCATCGCCAGTCACAATTCAATGCAAAAACTCCTTTCTTTTTTGCCTGACAAGCAGCATTTCGGAGATGGTTTTTCGCCTTTTGATGTCTCTTTTTTTCAGTTCATATGGCACTCATCTTCCTTCCTTATATACATTTCCCATGGCTTTTAAATGCTTGGAAATGGCTGCTTGAGTAACATCCAACGTTTCTGCAGGTTGATTTTGTGTTTGACATGGATCTTCATCCACTAATGTTTACAGTTCTGTATCTTCGAATTTTTTTGCTGGCCTGGACGTTTTTTATCATTTGTGTCAAAATCACCAAGTTTGAATCGTCGAAACCATTCCTTGCAAGTTGTTTCCGATAGAGCAAGTCCCCTATAAGCTTCAACAAGCATTCGATGAGATTCAGCAGCAGTTTTCTTCAAATTAAAATAAAAAAGCAAAGCTTCGCGCAAATGATGTTTATTTGGTTGAAATTCAGACATTTTCTTCGCAGTAAAAAACTATGTTGTTGTCACAAATACAAACTTTTATATACTGAATATTATTGACAGATATCAAAACTAAAAATGATGCCATGTTCAGCCATTACAGTTGACGATTGTCAAAGTTACAGCTATTTATCGCTAAAAGGCGGGTTTCAAGTTATAGAGTAAAATAAATACACTAATCAAAATATTTTCCCTCATTTTCTTGACTTTTGCTCTTCTTTCTGTAAGGAAACATTTTTCTTTCTTCTTTTCCTCTGGATTTTTCCGAGGACGTGTAAGCGTTTGGAAACAGCCATTGAAGTAACACCTAACGCTTTCGACAATTCTAAAAGCGTTTGAGATGGATTTTCATCCAGTAAAGCTTGAAGTTCGGCATCCTCAAACTTTTTCGGCTGTCCTGAACGTTCTTTGTCTTCCATGCTAAAATCACCACTTCGAAAACGTTGAAACCACTCTCTACACGTTGTTGCTGATGGAGCTTCTTCACCATAAGTCTCGGACAGTAAGCGATGCGTTTCAGCTGCAGTTTTCCTCATGTCGAAATAGTGGAGAAGTACATATCGAAAAAATACTTTATTACGATTCATTTTTCATCGATTAAAAAATCTCTGTTTACACAATACTCAACCTTTGCACACTAAATTGTATTGACCAATGTTTATCCTTCATAAGACAAGCAACTTTAAATATTAAAACTTATTTTGTCTGAAGCTGGCACCATCTACTAGTGAGCGGCGGAAACTAAGTTTAGTACCTAATATGAATACATATTTTCTTGATCAATAAAAATTCATGCTAATGTAATATTTATAGGATTTGCTATTGGCAGTTTGATAGGAGGTATCTTATACAAGAAAGTTGGTGGCGCAATAACCCTTAGAATATTTTCAATAGTCGCAGCATTCTCTGCATTAATGTACTTCGTCCTTCATACTTTGTACTTAAAGTATAAAACACCAGGTAAGGAACCAAGTAATTTTAATCATTAAAATGTAACAAATTAAAAAAAATGTTTTAAAAGAAAAACTTGTTGCAGACACACGAAATGAATGGAGAACGCCTGAGGAGGCGCAGAAACATTGCGAAGTAGCAGAGTTATAAAATAAGTGTGTTCATAAGTTCCGAATATTTTATATATGTATAGTCATAAATATATATTATAATTTGTGCTAGTTTTGTATAAAGAATTTGATATGATTTATTATTGTAATAATAAAGACATTTTTTATTATTTAAAGGTCTTTTTATGTAAAAATATATATAAAATATTTATACCTCTTGCATCACGTTAATGAAATATCACATTTTTTATATGATTTTGAAATAAAAAGTATTATATTTCATATATTATAAATATATCATTTTTATTAGGATAAATATTAATAACACAAAATGCACAAAAGAGTAAAAAATGATTCAAAGATAATGATAAAATCTTGATAGATATTGTGTTATTAACATTAGTAAAAATAATAGAATATTTATGTAAAATTAGCAGTGTTCCTTTTAATACAAAGTCTGGTGATATTAAGTACCGTAATTATTTTTATAATATATAACAAGGACACGTGACAAGAAATATGTATACTGCAACAATTCTGCAACAATTTATTATTATTGCAATACATACACAAAAGCAAAGACAATAATTTTCCCCATGCAAATGTAGTAAATATAACGCGCGATTACGAAATATAAAAAAAATATATTTTTTTAACAACACGGCAAAAACAAGTTTGCTTTTCAAGATCAATAAGTTTCATGCAGCATTTAAATGCACCAAAACCTATTACGTTTTGCAAAATAACAGGTATAAATAAAATTTATGATGTTATGGAATAAATATATCAATCATTGCTTTACACAAATATTACATTTGTGTTGATCGTTCATAACAACAAAAACAATAGCCGTCTTGTTAGAATAAGAATATCATAACTTATCTGTTTTCTTCACGTATTTGAATCTCTATCTTGTTTAAAAGAGATATCGTATTTTACATCCCGAAACCAACATTAAGTATCTCGTTAAGTAACCTTCTAAGAGAGCCATTTATAAACTCCCTCTCTCTTTTCTTTCTTTCTTTAACAATCTGATCAAAGCATTGTTCTAATCATATAATTGAGAATACCGCCATGCTTGAAGTAAGTCAAGTCAACTTCCGTATCGAATCGTACAATTACTTTAAACTCTTTGCCATCGTCTGTGAATACGGTAATCTTTTGTCCGGGTTGAACATTCGGGGGGATGGAAAGGTTGTATAGCTCGTGACCCGTTAATCCTAAGTACTCTGCATTTTCTCCAGGAAGATACTCCAATGGAACAATGCCCATGCCCACAAGATTGGACCTGTGAATAAATGAACGAAAGTATTTATTTTAAATACAAATATTTTACGGGATTGTTTCTTAGAAAATGATTGTTTCGTAGCTAATCTTTTTCTTTGAATCTAAAATCGTTTAGATTATAAACTCTTAACTTAAATTCTTTTTACAAACAACTGTACATTATAGTTCGGTGACCATTACATTTAAATTTAATAGAAAATATATGGTAATTAGAAAGAACTTGCCTGTGTATTCTTTCATATGATTCGGCTATGACCGCACGGATACCAAGCAGGTAAGGTCCTTTGGCGGCCCAATCTCTGGAAGATCCTGATCCGTATTCCTTACCGGCTAAAGCGATAAGAGGTGTGCCGTCTTTTGCGTATTTCTCAGACGCATCGAATACGTCCATCTAAACATCAAAATGTTATTAAAACGTTCGTAGTCATATTAAAAAAATTAATTGTGAGAGATAATGCTGTTTTTGCAAGTTTTTAAAACATAGTGTTAATATCTTAATTATATATAAACAAATTTAATTATATATAAACAAATAATTAATATTATAATGTGTTGTTTTATTAAAATATACATATAATAGCAAACGCGTTAATCATCGAAGCTAAGTATAGTGAAAAACCAACACACAGAATAACTAATATATACCTCTTCCTGAGTTGGAATGTAAATTGTTCGTGGTCCTGCTTTGCCAATGAATTTATTCATCAAACGAATGTTAGCGAATGTTCCCCGCGCCATCACGGCGTCGTTTCCTCTGCGTGCCCCATACGAATTAAACTCCTTCGGTGTCAAGCTAAAAATAAAAAGTGTCAACGTTAAAAATACCAACAATCACGGATCACATTTCCATTATTCCGTATACATAAGCTAAACTCACCCACGACTTGCTAAATATCTCGCCGCTGGTGAATTACGTGCAATACTACCCGCCGGGCTGATGTGATCGGTTGTAATGGAATCTCCAAGATTCACGAGTACTCGTGCCTTCGTGATCGGCTTTATCTCAGGCAGCTCCTATAAAGCGACATATTTTTCATTTTATAGATGTGAGAGAAATATAATTATTCCAATAGTAAATGTAAATAGTTTTAGAAAGTGATTAAAATAATTATTAATTTACAATTATTAATTGTGACTAGTCTCTATAATCCAAGTATTTGCATAAATATCGAGCAAAACGAATAGTTTTATAAACAGTCAACGAAACTAATCTCGGAATTAAAAGATAAAAATTTGATTTCTCTTAAATTTAACAAAAAAATTAAGTACTAAAGCAATGATAGTTATATAGAATTCTAATAACCTTCTGCAAGTCATCAAAGTAGGGTGGACTTTTAATGAACGTAGAATTAATGTCCCACGGATACAATTTACCATGCGGCGCTGTCAAACTCGCCCAATTGCTGCTACCTTGTTCGATTTTGCCATAGACTTCTTTGAACATGGCTGGAATGACATATTTCTGCTCCACAGCTTGAATTTCCGCTCTGGTCGGCCATACATCTTGCAAAAATACCGGGGTGCCGTCGGGCTTGTGACCTTAAAGATCACAGAAATGCTGTATGAAATGCGGTTCGAAACTTTAATGCATCAAAACAAAGATCCTGCATTTTACCTAGCGGTTCCTTCTCAAAGTCGATGTCCACGGTACCAGCGATAGCATAAGCTATTACCAAAAGCGGGGATGCTAGGTAATTTGCACGGGTGTTCGGGTGGATCCTACCTTCAAAGTTTCTATTGCCTGATAAAACTCCACAGCAAACGAGTTCATTCTGCCAGCAAAAATATTATATGATTATAAAGAATATATAAGACTGATTTTTTTTCTAAATTAAACGATATTTATTGAATTTATGATGGTTCTTCAGATGTTGCTTTATTCATCTCATTCAATGATAATTTATCAAATTGTTATTTCTCGAAACACATTAAAAAGACCAATTAGTTCAATATCTATAAATAGAATTCACAAGAACAAATATTTTACCTTTTCGATGGTTTCGATTATAGCATCAGGAAGCGGCCCGCTATTTCCAATACAGGTCATACATCCATAGCCAACAATGTCAAATCCTAATTTTGATAAATATGGAATCACTCCACTTTCCTCGAGATAATAAGTAACCACTCCAGAGCCAGGTGATAATGATGTTTTTAAATATGGCTGGACACTCAAACCAGCTTCCACTGCTTTTTTAGCAAGAAGACCTGCAAAGCAAAAATATGACTTACATCTTGATTCATAATAGTTAACACTTATGTCAATACTTAAAAATACACGCTCACGTCAATATTCAGGATACCCAAATATCCATTATAAAATTTTATAGATAGAGAAGAATCTGTCTTATCTCTCTTTGCTATCTAATCTTAAGAAGTAACCTGGACAACCTGGACAATCTTAAGGAATCCTGTCCCGATTTATTCTAACAACGGCTGTGTAATCGTCAACAATCCTTCTTCTGCCTATTTCACTTTTATAGATTTCTTTATTACTACGTGCGTCAATTTTGAAATATCTTTTCGTTTCAGCGATCATTATTCGGTCGTCTTCGATTTTCGTGTTAATTACAAAGTTAATTCTTTTCCTTATTGAATTTTTAATATAATAATTTGCTGGTAATTTTGATCAGAAATATGATTATAATCGAAGAATATCCTCTCGAGAGAAAAATGAATAAGCAATCGGCAACGGAGAACACGAAGTAAGAATAGTTACGAAATATGTACGAAAAATTATTTATTGGCATTGTGTGAAAGATGTACTTTTTTTGCAGTTTGACCACAAAACAAGAAGAAAACTACACAGAAGATTGGAAAATTAGCGAAATTAGTTCGTTATTGAATTATAATAATTTATCGGAGGATGATGGCTGGATAGCACAAATTAGGGGTGAATTTGTGCTTCCATTAGCGTTAAAAGCTTCATATTTTAATGGTATGTATAGAAATTCTGTCGTTAAATTTTCAATAAATGGTGTTTATATGATAGCATACGTATAAATTTTATTTTTAGCTGTAAAACGAAAGAACAAGGAAGAAAACATAAGCAGTGATGCTAACGATGCACTTGAAATCCAAGACGATATGGAATTGTTATCGTTCGCGAACACTTTTGTTGCAAAAGATGGAACTGTATGTAATAAAATATAGAAAAGACGAGAGAGCGAGGAAGAAAACGAAAGCAGCAATGATAACGATGCATTCGAAACCTAAGACGATATGAAATCGTTATCGTTTATCGCTAAAAAGAGACATCAGAAATTGTGCATTTTTATAACAAGACAAAATTTGACGTAGATAGCCGTCACCTTCTTTTATAACATTTTAGATATTGCCAAAAATTTGAAATGAGTACTCGGGTATTGACATAAGTGTTAAGACCACACCAGCTGTAAATTTCAATAAAAAATATTTTTACTATTACAATTATTATATATTATTTCTATTATATTCTATTCATTATTTTTTATCAAGCAATTTTATGCTGTTGATAAAAAAAGTGCATGATAAAGCAATCTAAATATACATCAGATAGTTCGTAAGTTTTTCACTTTTTCAATTATCGTTTTAAATTGCCGATTTGAGATTTTTTTAAAATTAAATTGAAGTCCTTACCTGCTCCAAGCATAACGCTGGGATTGCTAGTATTTGTACAACTAGTAATAGCCGCGATAACCACTGAACCATGCTTCAGTTCATAATCTTTATCTTCAAATTTAAACTTTCCTACAGTATTCACTTTTGCAGGACTCAAACCAAAGCCTTTGAAGCCAATCTGTAATAAAAAAAAAATCACAAGTTTGAGATGTATTTTCAACCTCAAAAGTAAAGGATGTTTCGTTAGATTTAAGTTTTCAAGAAAAAATTTATTTTTGCTTACACAACGATATTTAATTTCTTATCGGTTATGACATTAGAACATTGGAATTTTAAAGCTCATTAGCGACAATGTTGTTTAAACGTAAAACATTGTCTAGTTCTGCAAGAAAAAAAGATAGGAAATTCAGTTTGTCTCTCAATGTAATATACATTATAAAATTTAAAACATTTCAATAAGAATGCTTAAAAATCGGATTAATTACATCTATGTTGAATCGTACAATATTTGAGACATGACTAGCAAGATATTTGTGATAATAGATAAGGTGTAAAGATGCCATAAATCATTAATAGCATTTAATATGCTACTTCTTATTTTTCGATTTAGTGAAAAATACAACAAATTTTCTCTTGAAAACCACGATAAAACATGCAAGCAATTAAGCTAGGAATCATGCGGGGTTTCTCTTCAAGTGGTTTAACATATTATTATTTCATTATTTAATGATTAGAAATTTTGTGGCTTTAACAAGCGAGCATATGACATCGCGATGACGGAATTTATTGTTCGATAAACAATTTGCTGAAAAAGCAGCACCGATTCGCGATAATCTTTAAGCAATTGCAAGGTCTACGACCTCGTGCATACCTTGCACGTGCACAATTCAATGATTCTCGTCGATGACATATATCATATTTTCAGAGACGAAGAAAAACATGATAAACAAGTGACGTATAACGTATTATTGAAAGAGAATGGATTAAGAAATTTAATAACGTTATTAAATGTCGAATGCTTCTTAAAATGTTTTCAGTGAAAGCTAAAATATGATAACTCGTGACAATAATGTGATAAGGGTAACTCGTGTGTGTATATATATATATATATATATAAT